TTGTTCCCACAAAACTGGACATTCTTTTTGTCTCCTTTGCCAATTTCTTATCTTCATTACCTTTTACTATCAGATTTCCCAGAGCTCAGTCTGTAGAACTCTCCCTTTCTTTGTCTCTACTACATCCATTGGTGATCTCATACAACCCCATGAATTTTAAAATGTTATCTTTTGGCAAAAAAGATGAACTCATGCCACTCACAGCAATATGGATAGAGCTAGAGGGATTATGCTTAGTGAAATAAGTCAGAAGGAAAAAGAAAAATATCAGATGGCTTCACTTCTAGAAGGAATATAAGAGAACCCAAATAAGGCATCAGGGAAAAAATAGTAACAATAGAAAAATAACAAAACAAAACAAAAATAGACAACTATAAATCAGATACATTCTGCAGGGGAAGGTAGGGGGAGGGATCAAAATGAGGGAGCAAAGAGCACAGTGGACTATGGTGATGGTGCACTGGTGAACTGGTGGTGGAAATTCTATGGGGACTACACCTGAGAAAAGAAAGCAAACATTGTTATAAAGTGAAAAATTATGTTATATATATATAATTTTTTTTTAAATGCTGTCTTTTGGGACAATAGCATATCCACACAAGGTGGTAAGAAATAACAGAGAGAAATGCCATGTACCCTTTGTCTAGTTTACCCCAGTGAAAATATTTTACAAAATGATCCTACATAAATATCCCAGCCAGGATATTGACAGAGATGTGGCATACTGATTTTCCCAGTTTTACTTATATTCATTTCCATGACATTTAAAAATATTAAATGATGTGCATCGCCTAGAACACTCCCTTAAACTCATACATGCAAATGACTAACAGCTAATCAATGTCTCAAAAAAAAAACATATTCCAAATGAAAATCCTCAATTTCCCTTCCAGATCTACCCCTACTAGTCTTCCCCATCTCAGTTAAAAATCAATGCCATCTTTCTAGTTGCTCAGACTAAAAACTGTGGATCAACCTCAACACTTTCTATCTCTCACACTTTATATTCAAACTGTTAACAATTTCAAAAGATCCAGAATTAAGCCAGTTACCACCTACACTGTTAGTGTCCTAACCTAAGCCCCCATCATCTCCTACCTGGGTTATTACAATAACCCCCCTAAATTATTTCCCTAATTCTGCCCATGTCCTTCTATAGTTTTCTCTCGACAGAGCAGCTAGAGTAATAGTAACACATTTCTGAATTTAAGAAGTTTTGTTGATTGTGATTTTTACTGTGGTATAACACTTCTCTTATCAAATTCTATGGCTTCTTATCAGAATAGGAGTCAAATTCCTTACAATGTCTACAGGTATATAAAACATGGCCCACATTACCTCACAGGCCCCACTTTCCTACAGTTCTTCTTCTTGTTCACACAATTACAGTTGACTAAATCAGACATAATCACAATTCAGGGTTTTTACACTAGCTGTTCCTTCTTGGAGTTTTTGGTTGTTTTTAGAATATCTAATTTTCTTTACTCCTTTAAGTCTTTACTTAAATCATTCTCACCTGATGCTGACTTTTTTTTTTTTTTTATTTACAACTAAGATCACTTTGGGGTTTGCTGCCATAGTCATTCCAATACCAAGTCCCCCATATGCCACCACCTCTGACCACCAAATTTTAAATGGCAGCCTTGGATCTCTCACCCCCTCCTTACTTACTCCTTTTCTTCACTTAATTTTTTAACCTTTACTTATTTATTTTACTTTATTTATTATCTTTACTCCCTTGCCTACTTTTTTTCCTCCATAGTACTCACTACCATCTAACATGATATGTTATATATTTTCTGTTGTCTTTCATGACTAATTTCAGTCCATTTTTCTAGCACCTAGAAAGGTGCCAGACACAAAGTAATGCACAAAAATTATTTGTTAACTAGTAAATGAGAACCAAAGAAGGAAGGTGCTTTGTCAAAATATAACAAAAATATGGGCCCTTTCTGGTGGCACAAGGGGTTAAGATGCAACCTATGAAGCTGTCTGCAGCCACTGCAGCACAAGTTTGATCCCCAGCCAGGGAGCTACCCATATGGCTCAGACCTTTCCTGACTCGTCCACTACGCCCCTCAGTAGTGTATTTCAGTCAATCCATCTGTGCTGCTCCCCACTCTGTATCTGGTGAATCTTCTCACCCCCTGCACTTCTGACCTGTACCCCAATCTTGTATGCATAAATAAATAAATCTTTTTAAAAAAAAACACATGACAAATATAGGGCAGGAATCTAAGCCTCTGTAGTTTAGGAGTCATTTTTCCTAGGAATGGTGATGGACTCAAACCAATTTAATTTTTTATTCAGCAGTAACCAAAAGCCTGATGAGGTGAATAAATTATTTAGAATAACTTGTGGTAAAGAGGGTTCATACTGAAGCTAAAACTTACTAGCATCAAATCAAAATTCAACCAATTGCCTATAATAAGCAAATTTTATATTAATTGCCTTAACTGTTTTATTTGACTTTAAAATAAGGAACTTAATGTGGTAGAACCTCTAAGAGTTTAAGCTAAGAAAATGAACATGATATATAAACTACAAAGTAACCTTATGGAAAAAAAATAAGGCAGTATATCTACATTTTTTTATCATATTTTTAACTATGAACTAAGTAGAGCAAATATCGCTAAATAAAAAAGGAACTTATGTTAAAATAGAAAGAGATTGCTGTTTCTGGGCAAATTTTAATGTATTTTTAAACATTGGATAGAAAGAGGGTGAATGATGAAACTTCTTAGAGACAAAAAGGAAATGAAGACTAGTGTATCACCAAGTCCACTTACAAAAAACAAGTCACTTTTTGGAGCTTCTAGAAAAATCATTCATTTACAGTAAAAATTAGTTTGGGAATTAAAACTAAAAAATTCAACTCTGATTATTAATTGGAAAGAGCACTTTATGTAATAGTCATCTAAATTTGCTTTAAGTCTGATTTAGAGTAAAACTGAAGAGGTTCTAATTTTAAAAGAAAAAACTTGATTGAATCATTGTTTCAGAGATTGCCTATCCTTATGGCAACCAAAATAATAAAAGACAATTTGCTTGGCTTTAAAATTCAAGAAAATGGTATAGTATAATTAGTGACCTTACAATTGTGCTGCAGGTAAAAGTGAAACACACTAAATAGATATAACTCTCATTTTGCAGGTCAAATAAGGTTTCTATAAAACAATTAAAGCAATGTTCCTATCTTTATAATAAAACCTATAGCTTTTATATAAAATTATTTACTAGTAAATAATTCTTGAGGCACTTAAACAATACAATTTTTTATTAAGAATAAATAACATCAAAACTGTTTAGCTCTATAGTCAGTGTAACTAGAACAAATGTCAAAATTTTTAAATATACTTATGTGTAAATATAGATGTGTGTGTGTATAAATAAATGAAAGAAACAAGTGCATTATAGGCCCACATATTTTTTGCATGTTACCTTCACCCAAAAGAACTAAATTTATGACTAAGTAAATAAGTAACATTAAAACATCTTTTAAGTCTGCAAGAAGAGACTCTGCCAATTGATTATACTTTAGAACTCACAATTAAGACACTACTAGTAATAATACTAAAATAAGGCAGAGGATAAAATAATGTCTAATGGCTTAATTTGACTGAACAAAAGCCAAATTAAGAAGTTATAAATAGGCAACTATAGGGAATATGCAGAGAATTCTAGGGAAATCTCTTGGAGTTATTAACAAAACAAAGCAAACATTCAACAGTTTTAAGGAATATAAAATAGACATCATAAAGTAGGTATCAATAAATTTGAAGAACAAAACCAAGTTATTAAAATTAAATTTTTAAAAAATAAAAACTCTTGAGAATTGGTATGGCTGAAAACTACAGAGTTAATATTGGGTAATATATTTTAAATGACAGTACAAATAACTACAGTTTTAGAACATAATTGTAGAAACCTGTTGTTCCAAGGACATAGAAGTAACCATGGTTTTTCTAATAACCAGTTTTTGTATTCCTTGAACTGCATTTTAACTAGAGAAAGATTAAAAGGTATCAAGCAGTCAAAATGACTTAACTTCAACTTGGATATTGAAGCATTACTCTGATAGGCTTTTCCTGGTTAGTAGAAGTGACCCATAAGCTTTAGATGAACAGCCAAAGCCCCTGTGGGAACTTGTGCTCAATTTGGTGGGCTTTGAGGCAACCTCTGGCTAAATCAGCATTAGCCTTATGGGAGGCCAGCAATGAAGAAAGGGAGTCTCCCCAAGATCTGATTTCTTGAGACCACAACTTAGAGAAGGTCCCACAGTGAAATTATTCATATTTCTTGGAAAGAGAGAACAGGCATCAGTTGTGTCCATCGAAGGGGGACACTGTCTAGGTGTACCCTGGACATTTTTTGAAATCTCTGGGCTGCTTCTGCATCTGAAAAATAAGAAAAATAGCACAATGACAGACAACGAATGAGGAAAAAGACAGTCATCTGGCCTAAAAACTTAAGACTTATAAGAAATTAAGAAAGCAGACAAAACAGACAAAAAGACAAACAGCCATATCATTTGGAATGTATTATTCTGAATACAGCAGAGAAAAACACAAATTATTTTAAGCAAAGTAAGAAATGATCATAGCAACGAAAAGTTATTTTTGGAGAAAGCCAACTGCAGAAAAAAAAAAAATACGTGTTAAGATATGTCAACCTGACACAAAGATAAGGTGGAATAAGGATCTAGTCCCATTTGAAGCTGAAAAGAGCTGAGTAATGAGAGCTAGTGTCATGAACTTGGCTGCTTAACTGCCTTTGTGTAAGAAAACATCTCAGAACTTTGAACTTAGGAAATTCCAACTTGTCTTGCACCAGGTCACGAGCTCCATAGAGCAGGAACCTATTTCAACAAGCAGCTTTAAAAAAAAAAACAAAAAAACAAAATACTTTAATAATTTTCATTTCTATTAATGATACATTTTAAAATGCAATAATGCTAAAATCCACCAACATAAAATGCACTGAATAAAAATTAAACTTACTCAGAAAGATGTTCAGAAGTTGGGATACAAATAGAAACTGAAATTAGAAGAAAAATTTTATATTTAAAACAGCATATGAGCATAATCCAGAAAGAAAAAGAAAATACTGGATGGTTTCACTTATAGGAGGAATGTAAGGGAACCAAATAAGGGATCAGGAAAAAAAAATTATAATAAATAAAAAACCAAAATTAACAGGCAATTATAAATCACAGACATTCTGTAGGGTAGGGATCAAAAAAAGGGAGGGAAGAGCACAAGGGACTGTGTTGATGGTGCACGGGTGAAGTGGTGGTGGGAATTTTACGGGGACTACAAGTAAGAGGAGAAAGCATACATTGAACAAAAAGGAAGAATGATGTAAAATATATGTAAAACAAAATTAAAAAACAGTATATGAAAGGTGAGTGAAAACAATGATTTATTAAAGAGCCCATACTGTGGGTGAGCAAAAATACTGGAATAAATTAAAAAATCCAAAGAAACACAATTACATATACATACCTTTCTCTAGTACAACTTGGCAAGTATGAGTTTCATGTCGACTTAAGTGTGTAGCCATATTATCTAAGCCAAAAACATCAGTTAGGAAATCACAATTAAGGCACACTAGAGTAATGCCCCTACAAAAAAAAAAAAAGCAAATAGTATAAAAGGTTTTTACCTTTCATAAAAAATCCATACACAAATTCAGTGATTATTTTTCCATAATTTGCTTTTTGCATTATAATTATCACTAACATTTTTGAAGCAACTGAAGTGATTCTGTTGAAAATGACATAGCCATGTCCAATTTACTTATAGAGAGTATTTTTGCTTTATAAACTTTTAACTCTCATACCAATTGCTAAAAGCTCAGCGACAAGCAATTAGTCTTGGCTCCACTAACAACTTGCATCATTTCAACAGTCATTATCTACCTGTGCCTCTACCCATCTGTAAGGTGGGGGTACAGTATTCATTCATTCAGTACTTATTTTCTAAGGTGTTTCTACCCATACCAATACTACTAGATATCATGAATATTATGATGATCAAAAAAAGCAACCTGTGCTTTAACAGAGTTTATACCCTAGACTTTGATTTAGGTGAGGAGACAAATTAGAAGAGAAAGGTGAAGATTTTAAAATAGATCTTATAGCTGCCACCAATTATGTAACATTGGTTTTCCGAAATACTATTTTTTTCATTTGATACTCATAACAACCATCTACACTTTAACTGAAGTAGGTAATTCACTATTGGAATCGAAAGCTTGAGTTCTTCAGCATATAGGTCCACTTGTAATGGAATCTAAACTATTCTTTCCCTTAAAAAAATCATTAAGTGTTGTAGTTTTAAATAAAATATACAAAGATTGTAAATTTTCAAAAATATAGGAAAAAATTCCCATGGTCATCAATATTTTTTGTTGATTTCAGGATGGTTTTTATACTCAGGGACTCAAACTACGTAGCACTTACTATTGAAGTATTTAAAAATAATTGACATATCCCTGCTGTGTCTCTGGTGAATCCTCTCACCCTCCCATGCATCTGGCCTGTACCCCGGTTCTTGTATAAATAAATAAATCTTTAAAAAAAATTGACTTATTACAATATGACACTTATTCAAAGAGTCTAATTTAAAATATGCATAAACTTTTGCCTTTTAGTTCAAAGTTATTTTAAAATATTATTAAACCTTCCAAAATATGGAATGCTTCAGAGAACTCATAAAGACAATAAAGTTTAATATATTTATCAGAGTTAAGCACTTGGGAGTTTGTTGGGTAAAGCATTTGAAATGCCACATAAAACAATATCAAATATATAAACATATAAATAATGCTAAGTTAATGGAAATGTTTAAATAATTTTAGTTTGCTCAACTTACATGAATTTTATCAAACAGTAATTAAAGTTATTAAAAGGTACTAGACTTCTAAAGGGAATATTTTTAAGTTAAACATTAAAATTTAAGGAAAGTTAAAACTTCAATACTTAACTTTAATAACTATCATTTTTTTCTATGAACAAACTGTTCTCACAGACACTAAAAGCAGTCTGAATGTTAAGAGGTAGCTATTCCACTAAAAAGAGTTAACTGGAGCAGTGGTGGGACACCTAATTAAAGAATTCTTTTAAATATGGATTTGTAATTGGGATTTGAATATGGGAAAATGTGAAAGGCTGGGAATACTGTTTGGGTCTTAAACATAGAAAGCTGATCTGTATAGAGAAAAGGAGAATGGAACCCAAGTACAGAGAAAATAAAGACAGTATCATCTTGACTCAGCAGGTCAAACTAGAGAAAATCCACATTAGTAACTTTCTATTACTGGCTTTTATTTCCTTTATTTGTTCTGGTTGTATCTCCTTGTCTTTAGGGTCCATGAGATTCTTTGGCATTCTGCTATTAAATTACTTTTGCTTAGATGAAAACAAACAAAAAAAGCCATGTAAGTGATCATTGCCATTGTCAATTTATTAGCAAAGCATAAATATACTTTTGAAGGTCATCATATATTTTAAAAATTTTAAATTTTTTACCAATATGCAAATAAAACAGAAGACCTCAGATTTCTTTCTTCTCGGGAGTTCCATTCTAACAGCCTGCTGTGTGTTTACACCTGAATGTCACACTGGCCCATCAAGCCTACTTTCATAAAACTAAAATGATGTATTTTCTTTCCATATCAACTCCTGACTGATCTTTTTCATGACATTTCCTTAGACAATAAAGCTCTAACTATGACTATTTTTTTTTCCCTTTTCTTCCTTAGTACAGTCAACATGTCAAACATTTTATAGTATTAAAAACGTATTGAGGGCCTCCCCGGTGGCGCAGCGGTTGAGTGCTGGGTTGCGAAGCTGCTCATAGCCTCTGCAGCGCCGGTTCGATCCCCAGCTGCTCCCCGGTCACCGGAGGAGGAGGAGGGTCCCACATGGCGCACAGACCTCTCCTGCCGCCAGCTGCTCCCCTCAGCAGTGTACTTCGGTCCTTCTGCCTGCTCTGCTCCCCGCTCTGGCTCTGGTGAATTCTCTCACCCTCCCGCACTTCTGACTGTACCCATTGCTTGTATAAATAAATAAAAATAAATCTTAAAAAAAAAAAACAAAAACGTATTGAGGGCCTCAGTGGTGGCGCAAAGGGTTAAGCACCACACTATGAAGCAATCTGCAGCCTCTGAAGCACAAGTTCGATCCCAGCTGGCCAGTGAGCAACCCACATGGCAAAGCAGACTTCTCCTGTATTTCCCGCTGCTCTCCTCAGCAGTGTACTTCGGTCAGTCTGCTTGTTCTGTTCCCTACTCTGTCTCTGGTGAGTCCTCTCACCCCCCCGGATCTCTGGCCTGTACCCCAGCTCTTGAGTGCATAAATAAATAAATCTTTAAAAAAAATCTTATTGAATACTTATTTTATGTCAGACTAATGATTTCTGACATATAAGTCATCTAAATTTAAGAGCAACCCAGAAAGGTATGTCCTATATAATTCATCACCTTTTTTAAAAGGACAGATTTAATTTGTCTAATCTATCAAGGACATACAATTAGAAAAGTTAGGACCAAATTTGAAATTAAGCACTTTGATTCTAGAGCCCGTATTCTTAAAGATGCTATGATGCCACCTAACCATTTAAACAGGTCTTTACTAAATCATTCATGACTACTATCACTATCACAATCATAATCTAGAGGATTCATGCATCTATAACTCATTCTATTGTTGAAGATGTGAAAAAGGCTATCTTTAATTTAACCTTCCTTCAGCATCACTGATATAAAACATCTATAGTTTCTATATAAAACGTCAATTGTTTTCTAATGCCTCAAGATTAAGTTCAAACCAGTTATCCTTATTTTCAAAGCTTTCACAATCTGGCTCTAAGCTCCAAACTACTGCTCCAGACTTCAATCTTATTACTAATAAACTTCTATTTATTACTAATAAACTTCTATTTATTACTAATAAAGTTTATTTATTACTAATAAACTTATTACTTACAAACTTCATGCTCCATCCAGTTTTCTACTAGCACTTCCCTCTGAAAACTTATCCTTTTTTTTTTTATCTCTACCCTTTTATTCATGTTATTTCTTCCCACTCAAATGCCCCTGTGCTGCTTCTGTCAGTATAAACAATATTCAAGTATACCTAACACTCATACAGATCATTCTACTTTGAAATAAATAATCCTTACATACCTATTAAATTCTTCTTGCATTATCATTCCTTATCTAACCCAATAAACTTTACATTCCCTGAAAATTGGTTGTAAGACATCTTCATCATTTCTATATTATAGAATCTGCTACATTTTGTATATAATAGTTAATAAGTACCTAAAGAATGAAAATGCCATTCTAATTACAAAAATTGTTACATATACTATGCTACATTATAGAAATTGATCAATTTTCATGTTGAGAGAAAAACATTCCAGACCTTTAAAATTATAAAGTTCATTTAGAAACCAAATACACACCTGAGCTTGACAACAGTGAAGTAAAAAACAAAAATCTCATCTTTTGAATATTCTTTCTTATAAAAATTTTTAGTAACATCTAACATAGCTTAATTGATATTTTTGAATTCAGTAAATCTTTTTAAAAACGCATCTAATATATTTTAAAAACTCAATCAAATTTTTGTTTCCCTGTGAGCTACTGGTCTAACATCATAGATGGGACCTATTGTCTACATACGTCATTTTCAACATATGCATTAACTTATTCAACACGTATTTACTGAACCACTGCTATATGCTAGGTACTAATCAATGCTTGGTATAGACAAAGATTCAAGCCACACACATTTTGGAGGTCACAGAAAAAAAGATACATATAACACATCAGATGATGAAAGATGATTTAGAGAAAAATTAAACATTAAAAGGAAACAGGAATTGTAGAAAGAATCATAAGGCAGAGGAAACAATTTTAAATCAAGTAGCCAAAGAAAGGTTCACTTATCAGAATAGTAATAAAGAACCTGACCAATCAGAAACGTGGGGAAGAACAAACTGGTTATAGGGAATAATAAATACAAAGGAACTGAGATATAATGTCCATTATAGGGGACCTGCCTGGTGGCTCAAGGGATAAAGTCTCAGCACTACGAAGCTATATGCCGCCACCGCAGCAGAGTTCGATCCCCGGCCAGGGAGCTAACCCATATGGTGCAGCAGACCTCTCCTGTCTCATCCACTACTACCCTCAGCAGTGTATTTCAGTTAATACTCCTGTACTGCTCTCCCCTCTGTCCTGGTAAATCCTCTCACTTCCCCAACCCCTGCACCTCTGGCCTACACCCCAGCTCTTGTATGGATAAATTAATAAAATAAATCTTAAAAAAAAAATAATGTCCATTATATCCACTAACCTAAAACATCAAAACAAATAGTAGCTAAATTTATCTCTATAAATTAGCTTGACAGAGCAAAGACATTGATATTACAGGTAGCAATGGCAAAATGAGCAAAACAAATAACAAAAAATGGCAGCTAATGACATCAGAATATAAAAAAATGGTATATAGTAGGTACAACCAAAGTTAATTATTAGTGTCTTCAGAAATATTCATCAACTATTTTTCCTGAACATTAGTAAGTTATAAGCACTTCTTATTATTTGAAAAAGAAAAAAGTAAGAATTATGAAGACTATACACAAAGTCTAAGGATTCCAGGGATTTAATAAATTAACTCCAAAACTGAAAAAGTCTTATTCATTTTCATAGGTATCTTAGGTTATCTTTTTAAATGTTCAAATATTACTGGAAAGCCTTATTTTTGTTCTCATTTTTGCAATATAAATGTACGAAGATTTCATCTTGATACCACTACTGAAACAAACTTACCAAGAGGATAAAAACCTAATCACACCTCTAGTTTAAGGATATAATGAGTAGAACTCTGTAATGTGCAGTAACAATCACTGAGCTTTCCAAAATTGGGCATTTTGACACCAGGTTAAAAATAAAAGACAAAGAGATACCACTTCACACCCACTAGGACAGCTCAAATCATAAAGAAATAACACATGCTGACAAAGATGTGGAGAAATTAGAAACTTCAACTGTTGGGAATGTAAAATAATTTAGGAATTTTATAAAAGCAGGCAGTTCTTCAAAGGCACAGCAGTAACCTTATAACCCAGAAACTCCAATCCTGAATATATACTAAAGAGAAATGAAAAGACATGGCCAGACAAAAACTTGTACACAGATGTTTATAACAGCAATATTCATAATGGCTTCAAAATTAAAATACTCTAAATGATAAATAAACTATGGTATAGCCATACAATATTCAGCAATAAATAAATAAAAATTAAACAAAAATTTAAAATATGTTTATTTATTCAGCAATTAAAAGGTTAGACAGAGGCTACAACACAGGTGAACCTTGAAAATATAATAGTAAGTGAATGAAGTCAGCCACACTGGATCACATATTGGATCATTCCATTTACAAGAAAATCTATATAGAGATAAAGTTAATTAGAGATTGCTTAGGGTTGGGAGGAAAGTGAAGAAAGTGAGGATGACCACTAGTGGGTACAGAGTTTCTTTCTAGTATGACAAAAATGTACTAAAATTTAACCATAGTGATGACTGCATAGCTCTGAGAATATACTGAAAACTAACTATATAAATTAAATGCATTAGTTACAAGCATTTAATATAAACTATTCTCAATAAAGATATTATATAAAAATTTAATTCACATAATTTTTTAATAGAAATAATGAAAAAAATACAGTTACCTGAGATCTTCTGAATGCTTCTTAAAAATACAAAACCTTTTACTTGGACGGTTACTATGAAAGCTAGAGACAAAACAGATTTTATTAATTTTATTATGTAGTATTTTATATTAATTTATAGCTATACTTAAATTCTATACTTAAGTTTCTACTTTGAGTATAATATAAATAACAAGATGTTTGTTATCTCTATTTAAGTCAACACTACACCTTATATTCCATTTTACTTATATTTATTTTCTTATGACAAGTATTTTCCGAAGCATATTCTTATATGATAAGTAAGTCACATAAAAAAATTAAATGCTCAGGTTTTTTTTAAAAAAACAAAACTAAAGCATATGAAATTCATTTTTTCCATTTGTTGAGAACTGAAAACAATCAAAAATTTTGGTAGAAACATTTTTGCTATAATGTGAATGGTTATCAATAGTAGTCATTATTTAATTTTTATCAATTTCCAATTTTAATATGCTTGTATGGGGCTAGGAGTATAGAATGCAAATGATCTTGTAAATAGTCCTTGAGCTAAATGCCACTCTCTAAATCTAACACTTAGAGACTTCTTAGCAATTATTAGTAGAGGTTTTATAAAACCAAAATAAAGTGGAACTCAGGAGCTAAAACAATGCTTCCCCTAAGCACAGAACAGAAAACTACCAATTAAACTTTGTAGCTAATGATAACAGTTCTTACAAACCCTTTTAAAAATGATAAGGAAATAAGCCTACACCTATATGGACAGTTAATCCATGACAATGGAGTCAAGAACATACACTGGAACATGGATAGCCTCTTCAATAAATGGTGTTTAAAAACTGGTCAGCTGTATGCAAAAGAATGAAACTAGACCATGAGCTCGCACCATACACAAAAATCAATTCAGTATGGATAAAAGGCTTGGAAGTAAAACCTGAAGCCATAAAATACACAGAAGAAAACACAGGCAAAACATTTCATGACACAAGCTTTAGTGATGCCTTTAGGGACTCATCACCAATAGCAAGGAAAATAAGAGAGAACATAAACAGCTGAGACTACATCAAACTAAAAAGCTTCTGCACAGCAAAAGAAACAATAAAATGGAGACACCCTACTGAATGGGAAAAATGTTTGCATACCATACATCTGACAAGGGACTGATAAACAAAGACATACAAAGAACTCATAACACTTTACAAAAACAAAACAAATAATCCAATCAAAAAATGAGCAGAAGAACTAAAGACACAATTCTCCAAACAAGACATTCAGACTGCAAACAGACACATGAAAAATTGTTCACCATCACTTCTTATTAGAGAAATGCAAATCAAGACCAAAATGAGATAGCATCTCACACCTGTGAGGACGGCCCACATAGAAAAGACCAGAAATAACACATGCTGGTGAGGATGTAGAGAGAAGGGAAACCGTTTACACTGCTGGCAGGAATGCAAACTGATTCAGCCCTTATGGAAAACTGTATGGAAGTGTCTCAGAACATTAAAAATTGATTTTCCATTCAACCCACTAATTAGGTATCCACCCCCAAAATTAAAAAAGCACTAATTTGAAAGGAAACTTGCACTCCCAAATTTGTTACATCACTATTTATAATAGCCAAACTGGAAACAACTTAAGTGCCCCCAAATTGATGAATGGATCAAGATATGGTATATATCCATGCTGGAATATTACATAGCAATTAAAAGAGATAGTAATCTCATGCAATTTGTGGCAACATGGTGCTGGAAGGGATAATGACAACTGAAATAAGTCACAAAAAGAAAAATACTGGAGGATGTCATTAATATGTGGAATATAAAGTAACTAAACTAATTGAAGAGTCAGATAAAGGCCAGCTTAAAAACTAATCCTTGATGGCTGACTAAAGAACTGAAGCACCAAGATTGGGGAAGAGTAAGAACAAAGAGGGAAGAAAGTACAATGGACTATGGTGGTGGACTGGGCCTGACTTGGTTGGGTGCACTATGGTGGCAACACCTGATGAAGATATCAAATAGTACCTCAATTAAGATAAATAAATATAGTAAGGGAAAATTTTCATGTACTAAAAAGCCAAGATTAGGTTTGCACAGTATTATTAAAAGTGGAACCATAGACTAACATCATCAGTATCATCTTAAAGCTTATTTAGAAATATGAAAGTCTTGTACCTCTCATACTTACTGAACTAATCTCTGGTAGTGGGGCCTGGGAATCTGGTTTTAAAAATTTTTTCTAAAAATTCTTACACAAACTAAAGTTTGAGTACTAGTACCCTAACTTGTACTGGAAGACCCAAAGTAGCCAATATACTAAGTGAATGGTCACTCTCAGAGTACAAGGTAACCTTCATGTATGTATGGGAAAAGAAATCTGTTGACTAGTTATAATCCAGAGAATATCCTCAGAAGATTTCTACTAGTCATTTCTTCAATCTGGGATAACTACTACTAAAGACTTTACAAATCCAAGACATCACTACAAAAATTATTAAATGAACATTTTAGAAGAGCACAGAGGGAGTTGGGAAGCACTTAAAACTGAAAATGTGTGCAAAAATTTATACACACAACTGTGTTTCCTCAGCGGAAAGAGACCAAGATTTTATCTCATTCCCCAAAGTGAACCAAAATAAATTATTTTTAAAATGAGATTTAAAAGTAAATTTACAAATTTATTTTCTCTTTCTCCTCAGATCATGTTTTGGTTTATTTATCTATTGGGCAGGAAAAAGGGAAAGAATACATTTAGGGTCTTTTTGATGGCTTCCACTTCTGTTTAAAACTTACATCTCAATAAAATGTTGATAACTTTAACACTGTAATTGTCTGAATGCAGTTTTAATTTAGGTATCCCTATTTTTAAAGAAAAGATTTGCACTGCCTCTTTATTTATATTACACAAATTCCATGTGTATGATAGGAATGGAAAAGTGAATCTGCTGCTCACAAATAAAAAGGAAATAAAAACTACCCTTCTTTCTATTAGATTTGCATAGTTATTAAGAATACAGAAATAAGGAAATAGGGAAAAAGTTAAGGCTTTTATTAAAATACAGTAAAAATATGTTAAAACCTAGAATTTAAAAATTTACCACCTAGTTATATGACTATACATAAATATCAAAACTTGTGAAGCTGTTCTCTTAAAATAGGTGAATTAGTAAAAACTGTATGAATAAGACTGTTGAGAAAAAAAATCCATTTGACCATATATATTTTAATGCTTTTATTTATTTTTTAAAGGTTTTTTAATTTATTTCTGCATAGAACAAATGCGTAGAAGAATTTGGCCTGCATAGGCTAGAGGTGTGGGGGTGAGAGGATTCACTAGAGATAGAGTAGGAAGTAGAACAGGCGTATTTCCAAAATGTACTGCTAAGGGAGCAGCCGGCGAAATACTGTATGTGGGTTGGCTCCCTGGCTGGGGATGGAACTCAGGTTGTGGTAGAGACTGCACTGAGACTTAACCCCCTTTGCTACCAGGGAACCCCTGACCATATATTCTTAATTATCTTGAAGTAACAATTTTATTTCCAAAGAAATAGAAAAGGATCAATTTCCTAAGCATTCAAAAATATTGATGGTCTGACTCCCATTTTTAAGACACAGACTAGAGACTGGTGATGTAATAAGAAAGAAGGCAAGTTGCGTGCCTCATGGTAGGATAAGAAGGGGTGGGGAAGGAGACAAAGAGCAGCTGGCACAGAATAAATGTCTAATAATTATGTGTTAAACAAGTAAACACATATTCAAAAAGAATTACCACAGGATAAGCACTAATAATAACACATAAGAAGTTTTGTGGTTGGAAGGAAAATTGCAAGTAGATGGAGTAGAAACTACCTAATATAAGTTCATTTCAGTTAAAAAGGTCCCTACTTCCTTGCTTCAGGTAAAGCAAAGAGCAAGATCTAGAGATATTTAAAAACAGTAATAGCTGAAGTATCTGAAAAGGTAATTAGAAATTAGATATTGAAAGGTCTCATATTCTCCAGAAAACTTGAACTTCATCCTATTCATGTTAGAAAGGCAAAGGATTTGAGGGGGGAAAATGACAGGATGTCATAATGGAAGAGGGTATTGGGATATAGCTGGGAGATCAGTTACAAAATAAGTAGACAGTGGGGGCAAATCTTCCTCATCCTAAAAAAATATCTATATATGCTTGTGAGCAGAAGGAACCTGATAGATTGAAGAGATGAAGTTGCAACTTAACTGAATAAGGTTGTGAAAGAACTAGAGGAGATAAGTGATGGGTTCAACTAAAAGGGGGCCTCCCTGGTGGTGTAAGGGATTCTCAGCACTATCAAGCGATCTGTAGCACGAGTTCGATCCCCGGCCAGGGAGATATGCACATGGAGCAGCAGACCTCTCCTGTCTTACCCGTTGCTCCCCTCAGCAGTGTATTTCAGCCAGTCTGCTTGTTCTGTTTCCTACTCTGTCTCTGGTGAATCTTCTCACTCCCCACCCCTTTGGCCTACATCCCAGCTCTTGTATGCATAAATAAATCAATCTTTAAAAAAAGATTAATTAAAAGGATGACCTCCAACTGAGTAATTAGTAGGCCAGGTTTTTAAAAGGCTGAAATAAGAATTTTAGAGTACAGAAAACATTTAAATAGACATTTCAGGCGAAAATAAGTAAGTACTTAAAGACAGGAGTCAATCAAAGCTACAGATCATGAAGTCAGAGATGACCATATCAAGCAATATTTGGCAGTCTAGACCTGAATGTAAATTTCAGAAGAGGAAGACATTCATGTTTCACCTTGGTCTTTAGGCTATGTGAACATGACTAAAGGTACAAAAGGATTCTAGAACAAAAACAAAGCAGCAATCCAAACAGATGACCCAAGGGTGATGTTGTTTATAAAGTTAGATGGGTGACAGGTGACAGGTGGGATGAGCACAAGGGACTATGGTGATACTTTATGGTTGTTGTGGTGGTAGGAGAACTACAAGGACTACACCTGAAGGGAGAATAATGATGTAAGAAAATAAATTATTGAAAAATAAATAAAGTCAGATACCCATCTGACTTTAGAACTGCAAAAGCAAGTTAAAGTTCTAAAAAGTCACAGGAATTCAAAGGAAATGGACAAGGTATATGATGAAATTTAAATGATACAGAGATAAGAAAGGGGGTACAAAAACTTAAAAACAGATATGAAGTGCTGGCACGAAAGAAGTCAGGGTACCATAGGGGCCTCAGTGGTGGCCTAGGGGTTAAGTCTCTGTGCTTTTACCACTACAGCCTGAGTTTAATCCCTGCCCAGGAAGCTAATCCACATATGGCACAGCAGACCTCTTCTGTCTTGCCCGCTGCTCCCCTCAGCATTGAATTTCAGTAAATCTGCCTGTTCTACTCCCCACACTATTTCTGGTGAATCCTCCCCCACCCCTCCACCAACATCAATCCCCCCATGCCTCTGGCCTATACTCCAGTTCTTCTAGGGAAAAAAAGGATACCAAAAGGTCAGGCTAGTCATCAAGGAGAGAAATAAGTGTGTGAGAGAAGCTGAAACAGTTAAGAAAGGTGGGAGAATCCTGAAGGGAGTAACTGATAAGGACCAGAAAGTAACACAAAGTCATACTAGTTATGTATTAATTATATTTTTTTAAAAAATGAAACAATCTCACTTTGAATAGTCAACCCAACAGTTTTATATCTGAATAATTTTGACTATGTTTTAAATAAAAATCAATCCTGTAGGATACCTCTTTTAATGGAGAAACAAAGAAAATATGGCTGTGGAGGCTATCTCTGGATATAGTAAATATTAGGTAATCGATTTAAGTTGAATAAATTAGTGAGAAAGAATGTCAACAGGGCAACATTACTGGAATAGTCTCTTATTTTAATGAATGAATGCAAGGACAGATGGCTCAGTGGATAGATGAACAAATAGAAAGAAACAACCCAATATAGTTGCTAACATCATTGAAAATCCTACTCTCAAAGTGACTGCTTTATTGAGGATAATGCTCATGCAATTACATGTATTTATTTAGCAAATATATTTAAAACATTTAAATTTTTATCTTTAACAGTTGTATAGGAAAAATAATTACAGTGGAAAAGCTATTTCCCTAAGAAACCTATCCTAATTTCATTATTCTAACTGTTCTTATAATTTTATGTCAAGTAATTTTATAAAATGTTATAAAATTTTAAAATTTTAAAAAGTAGTACTAAACACTGTCCTAGAAGTTCCCTACTGCTGGATGCTTTTAGCTTTTAATACCTTTAAGAGAAAATAATTGGTTTCTTGTAGAATAACTATTTCCCATAAACAAATTTTAACTATAATTTTAATTGGTAATTATAAATGTTTAACTCATCTTACCTCATCATATGATTTACATAGGCTTTGCTACAGCTAGTGTTGTATCTGCAAAGACTACAGTGGACATATGTAGGAAAGTGGTTTGCAAAATCTTGTACTTCAGAACAACACTCAATGCACTTATGAATTCCCGGATGATACCTTGTGAAAATATAAAGAAAATGATAGACAATATATTTTAAAACAAAAATAATAAGGAAGAGCCTTATTCTGTTCATTAAGAGACAAAGTATTTAAATTACTATCTTTAGAGACTTATAATTTGAAAATCTGCTATTGAACAATAAGCTAGAATAAGTGTAAACAAGTTAATATTTTAATGTTTTTCACTTTAGTAAAAGGGGTTGAATTAACCAATTCAAACATGACAAGAGAAAGTGCAACAAAAAATACCAATGTGATAGATGAGTATTACAGAGAAAACATAGTAATTCAAGTACTGTTCAGCAATTGTACAAGTATCTTTTTATTATTTGCTTGACCTTAATGCTTTAAGTGATAGCATATAAATATACAAGAGTACATAATCGGGCAAATTTATATTAAAATTTTAATACATAAGATTAAATTAGTATTGTATTCAGGAATAAAAGATTACCTTAAATTCCTCAATGCTGTATTGACTTTACTTTTTTTATTGCTACTAGTCAATGTGCTTTGTTTCTTTTGCATATTAGAGATTTTTGATTTGTATTTAGATTTATTTCCAATAGGCTTACTTGCATTGGGTTTACTTGCACTGGATTTAGTTGTATTATGTTTGTTTGTATTAGATTTTGTAGGATTTTTAGCAGTTATATTTTTAGTCCTTGGAGGTGAGAGCTGAAGGGTAGAAGTGCTTGCACTAATGGAAGGTGTAGTAGAAGATCCTGACTGAACAGGTCCAACTGAAGCTCGAATAGTAACCTACAAAAATGAAGATAATATTTGATTCAGAAAAGTAATTACTGCATTAGTATAAAAATATCACTGTATAACAAAAGGTTAAACATCAAATATTTTGAAAAGAACAAGTATAAACTATAATTAGCTAAGTCTTCCATTTATTCTAAAATGCCCATACCAATGAAATGAGATTAAACTTGACATTTATTCACTTGCAATACTATATTTTTGTACTGATATCAGTTATATGTTAACAAAATTATTAATGGATAATAAGAGTTAATGCAAATTATGTGAATATTAAAAGAGCACATTGCAAAGTTATTTTTATGCTCTGATCTAACTATTCAGAGATCAAAATTTAAATCTCAAGTCCTGAAAAATAACTTTAGAAAAGCCTACCTTACCCTTTGACAACTATAAAACAAACAGAAGCACAGTAAATGTGGCTTCTTTCAAGTGGTTCATTGGACAGGATTTATGTTTACAAAGGTTATGAGAGGGGTTACATTAATTCATTTACCACATGGAGAGTTTAATAATATAAAATATCCTTAAAAGGCACTAATACATTAGGTATTCAGAAATAATATTTGTTGGTTGGCAGTTGAACACTTAATTGGCTACCTTAATCTTGTTAATCATTTGACAATACTTCCCTGCCCCATGTATAAGAACAACTTATGAGGATGTTCTATGAAATACAGGTGCTTTGGTATATTACACAAAAGCACTAGACTAGGAATCAAAAAACTAGGGTTAAATACTATTCGTTCCTAACCAAGTGACCTTGAATAAGTAACTTATCCTTTCTAAACCTTTTTATTTATAATATGGGGCAATACCTGCCTTGCTGTATGGTTTAAACAACAGAATATATTAAAAAGCATACAGAAAGCCTAATTCTAAAGTGCTACAAAAACATTTAGTAACATTATTATTAATATTATTACTACTATTTTTATTAATAAGGGAAAACATGAGAGGACTGCACTGCTTACATTAGTGTTCTGCATGTCCAGTCCCAGTATGGAATGAATGGACTGCAGGGAAGGATGCTGGATAGCTTCTCTTGCTCTAGGTCTTCAGAGCATGGCTTTATATTTGTTTTAGTTAATTCAAATAACAGACATACCCACATTCAAAGGTAAGTACCCAAAGCCAAATATAAATGTTTTGGGGATTATTTCACTTTGGATTATCCATGCCTCTGTTTCCCTCCACTGGAACAAATATTCAAGAGCTGACTGTATATAAAGAAGTCAGAGAAAACAGATGTATATAAGGCAAAAGGGGAAAAGTAAATCGCATCATCAGTATGAAGTCAGACATGTGTTTGCTCACTTAAAACATAATGCCATCCAGCAGCAGAACTTGCTTCTTTGACAATCAACTCAGTAATGACAACTTCAATAAATATTTGACAACCTACAGAATTCAAGGGAATATACAAGATGCTGAGGACACAAAGATAAATAAAACATGACTCCTGGTCTCAGGCATCTTAGAATTTAGCAGATAAAACCAACATACACAGTACCAACTAGAATAGCTCAAAATAGTCCATATAACATTGAAACAACCCATTGATCCAAGAAAGTTATTTTAGTTACACTTTTTTCCCCCAAAGGAATACCATTCTAGCACAGCACATACCACCATTCATAAAACAGTGGTTAGGAACTTTTTTCTAAATGTAAGAAATATTGATAGAATCTAAAATTAAAATCTTAGTAAAAGTGGAAACAATTTTTAACATATTTTATTCCATAGACAAACCAGGCAGAAGTTATTTTTATTTTCACATAAAATGTTAAAATAAAACACATGTGAACTCACTTTTGTTCCAGGAGGCAATCCTTCTAACTGTTTTGGTTTTATAAATGTTCGATGATGCTGAGTCTTATGATCCATTTTCTCTTTGCATGTCAAAAATTGCAGTCTGCATTTTGTACAACGATGTATTCCTTTTTTCTGTTGAAGAACAGGAAAAGGGAGGAAAAATAATTTATTTCCACAACCACAAATCCTATGTTCTGAAACTGCTCTGACTTGATTTTAATGATACCTAAATTATTTCAAGTGCTTTACATCTCCCATCATATATAGTAAAATATTATTTTATTTTTAAAAACATTATTTGCAGTAGTAGTGGGGTTTCAAACATGTAGATATTTGAAGACAAAGTCTATATCAAGGTTTTAATGAAAGTTCCCTCAATTGTATAAAAATTCTTTTAATTATAATTTTAAAGTAGTTAGACACAATATTGTGAAAATGAGCTATACTATGACCTATACTATGCTTTAACCCTAGAAAAAAGTAAATTCTTTTTTTAAGATTTATTTTTATTTATGCATACAAGAAGTGGGGTGTAAGCCAGAAGTATGGGTGTAGGGGAGTGAGAGGATTCACCAGAGACAGAGTGGGAGAGCAGAACAGGAAGATCTACTGAAATACACTGCTGAGGGGAGCTGCAGGTAAGACAGGAGAGGTGGGCTGTGCTGTATGGTTAAGCTCCCTAACCAGGGAGCCAATGCATTTGCAGTGACTGGCGATTGCTTGAAAGCGCTGAGACTTTAACCTCTGAGCCACCAGGGCATCCCGAAGAAAGTAAATTCTTTTTAATTTTTCCTATTTTCAGTTGGTTGCCAAATTGGTAAATTCAAATATCTATCTACATTTCAAAGAAGTTTGTTACAGAAATGATTATATAAAGCAGTGTAATCTTGTAAAACTTTGTTACAATTAGCTATCCAATAAAGGTAGCTACTAGCCACAGCTAAAATAAGCACCAAAAATGTGCAAAGTGCAACTGAAGAACTGAATTTTTTTTTTATTTATTTATTTGTTTGTTTGTTTGATGGTTTGTTTATACAAGCACTGGGTACAGTCAGAAGCGCGGGAGGGTGAGAGACTTCACCAGAGCCAGAGCAGGGGCAGAGCAGGCAGAAGGACCGAAGTACACTGCTGAGGGGAGCAGCGGGCGGCAGGAGAGGTCTGCGCGCCATGTGGGACCCTCCTCCAGCGGCTGGGGAGCAGCCGGGGATCGAACCGGCACCGCAGAGGCCTCGGGCAGCCTCGCAACCCAGCGCTCAACCGCTGCGCCACCGGGGAGGCCCGAAGAACTGAATTTTTAATTAATTTTAATTTAAACAGTCACATGTGGCTAGCAGTTACTATACTGGACATGCATATTTGGAAGCATAAATCAGAACAACTGATCCCAATTTACTTCCTGGTTGAGACCCCTTGACTGAGTCCTTTCTCAAACTTAATCTTGTTATAATTCTAGAGATGAGAAGCAAGACCCAAGAAAAATCTAAATCACTTCACTATAACTAGTTAGTGACATTGCCAGACTCCTGGTTTCATTGTTTCTACTACCATTCTGATGCAATCTACTGTCTTGTCCCTGTGAGGTTCTTTTCTCCCTTTTCCTCTCAGCCACCTATTCTTCCCATAGTTGCCAATGATCTTAAAACACGGCAAATTTTTCACATGCTTAAAATGTTTTGATAGTTTTCCAAAGCTTTGATTTTGGTTTGCAAGGATCCACATGAATTGCCCTGCATTCTATTGCTACAAGCTTATTTCCTACACTTTTCCTCTTATGAGTTTACTTGCTTCAAGTCAAACTGGCCTCTGTGTTGTTCACTGACTGTCCCAGATACATATACTACTTAACTGCCTACATAGTGTTACCTCTCACAGATTTCCATATGGCTTACTCCTTTATTTCCTGCGGAGAGACCCTTTTTCACCACTATATATAGAGAACAGCAACCACTTCTCTACTTTCCAACACCTTCCCAATTCTTGGCACTCCCTGTCCTCCACATTTTACTTCTACAATATAAACCATTAGTTTGCAACACATACATTCAAATAAAAACATACATCTATTCATTATCTTTCTCCACTATAATACAATTTCAGAGGGTGCACACTTTTTGTTTATAGCTATATACTATCTAGAACACTACTTGCAAAATAATTAGGCACTCAATAAATATTTACTAAATAAATGGATAGTAAGGCAGAAAATAAGAGGCTGACAGAGAAAATGCATGTGAAAAGCAGGTAAATTTAAGGATTCAAAATGTCTGCATTCATTCAATGAATATTTGTCTAGACTATTGAGGCAGAACATATTAATCTACCATTTTTCTTAGCTGGACACATGTCTTGCACATCTATCTTATTTATTTAAGCATTTCAATGTGCTAAGGATGATAAAAACAGCACATTTTTTAAAAAGATTTATTTATTTATTTTATACAAGAACTGGGGTACAGGTCAGAAGCGTGGGAGGGTGAGAGAATTCACCAGAGCCAGAGCGGGGAGCAGATAGGCAGACGGACCAAAGACACTGCTGAGGGGAGCAGCGGGAGAGGCAGGAGAGGTCAAAAACAGCACATTTTTTTAAATAACATGATGTTCAACCTAAGAAATACCGATCTATCCCAAGGGTAGAGAATTATTTGTGTTAAACTTTTTTACAAGCATACTACATTGTTTGGGAGACTTGAATGATTTTTTTTTTTTTTTAAATCTTTTTTTTTTTTTTTTTTTTTATAGAGGCATGTTTTATTTATTTATTTTGTTTGTTTGTTTGTTTTGTTTATACATGCACTGGGTACAGTCAGAAGCGTGGGAGGGTGAGAGAATTCACCAGAGCCAGAGCGGGGAGCAGAGCAGGCAGAAGGACCGAAGTGCACTGCTGAGGGGAGCAGCGGGCGGCAGGAGAGGTCTGCGCGCCATGTGGGATCCTCCTCTGGTGGCCGGGGAGCAGCCGGGGATCGAACCGGCGCCGCAGAGGCCGCGGGCAGCTTCGCAACCCAGCGCTCAACCACTGCGCCACCGGGGAGGCCCGAGACTTGAATGATTTAAAGATAATTTCAATTGTATGTAATTTCTACCCTTAGACCTAATACCAATGTGAAATCTGACTCTGGTAGAGCAGTAAAAGTCTGGGCTCATAAGTCTAATTCTAAATCTAACAGATAATAAGATCTTGAGCAAGTTATTTCCCTAAAATCTTGTTTCCTCATGTATAAATTAGAAGTAACAACATATATACATGGCTGTGAAGACTAAGTCAGATAACGCATGTAAAGCCTTTGTTGCTGCCAGAGGTAATTATATATGTTAATGATTATTATTTTTATTAACAATTTAATGAGCATATTTAACACATCCAAAAACACTTTTATTATTTCTTAAAAATCAAACTAATGACAGCTCTAACTTCATCCAAGACTTAATAATATAACCTCTTAAAGTTACAACCATAGTCCTCAAAGACAATAAAACAAACCAGAGTCAACAATGCTTAGTGCTAATACTGTGCTAATAAGGTGATTTCACTTACAAGTTTACAAACCTGATCACCTATGGTCCTACAATATTTTATAAATAATTATGCAACTCATCAATGCCTTGAAGGATACTTGATGATCTTTTTTATTAATACTGTCCCATCTTAACTACTGACTGTCTACCTCCTAGGTACTCCAAAGAAGCAAAAAGAAAATTGGGCATTCATTGCAAGTTAAGACATAAAACTCAGGGTATTAAAAACTGATTATAAATCACACAGCCCTTGGAGAAGTTTCACATAATTATCATTTTTCCACATCTACATCTCACTCTTGTGTTTAGTAAAGCATATGGAGAAAAATATGTTAAAAGGATCACAATGAAACAGAAGTACTGTTATAGACCCCATTCTCCCTTTTAAAATTAAAGGTCAAAAATGAAACACAGAATATCAAAAATAGTGTTTTCCACACACCTGTTGTTAACAGGTATTTGCAAATAAAGAATTGGTGGTCAAATAAGTTTGGAGAATACTACAACATCCTTTGCTTAGAGATTTCCAATGCTACTAGCATATTAAAAGTTCTAAGAAATCTTATTTTAAAGTACATATTAACAAAACTGTTTAATTTTGTGAATATAGGGAAAACCAAGAATAGAAAAGTCTTGCCAAAACTTCTCAAAGATATGTGATCCCAAATTCATTTTGGAATTATACTTTTATGATTTATCTCAATTAAAAAACATGTCAAAAGATTCTCTAAAGGCTAGACTTGAAAGCAAAGTGAGCAACAATGCCGAATAAATTGGTATGCCAATTTAATCAATAAGAAAAAGAAATGAGTCATTAATAAGATGGAAAACTTGATTAAAATGATTAAATGACTTCTGATTTGGGCAAAGAAATTTGTTCCTACAAACATTCAAGAACAATATCAGTGCCACAGAAAAGCTTTCTGTCCAAAGAAAAGATGTTTTAATTGTTTCATAAAAATAACGAGCAAGTTGGGCCTCCCCAGGTGGCACAGGCAGTTGAGCGCTGTGCTGTGAAGCTGTCTGCAGCCTCTGCAGTGCCAGTTCTATCCCGGCCAGCTGGCGAGGGTCCCACATGGCACGCAGACCTCTCCTATCTCGCCCGCCACTCCCCTCAGCAGTGTATTTTGTCAGTCTGCCTGTTCTGTTCCCTGCTCTGTCTCTGGTGAATCCTCTCACCCTCCCGCGCATCTGGCCTATATCCCGGTTCTTGTATAAATAAACAAATAAATAAATCTTAAAAAAAAAACCAAGCCAAGTATAACAACAGATTTCAAGAGAAGGATGTAAGTGCTAATACCGTGTCCCAAAAACTACACAGCAAAACTGGAAGAAGTCATCCACCAAAAAAAAAAAAAAGGCCTAAATATAGTTCTTTGGTAGAGTTCATGTATCAAACAGTATTACTGTTTCCTTTATCACTGGCAGCTAAAGAAGACCACACTTGATCAATGATAACAATATGTCTTCTCCTAAGGGTTCTAGAAAGTGGAAATAAGAAAAACAAATTTATAAGTACTCAACCTTTTTTATTTTTTCAGTTCAAACTCATCTTTTTCCTTACTTTTGATCATCTATCGTCAACATAATTTCCACATCCACTCATAGCTCTTGGAAAATCAATTCTTTGAATATTCCATTCATCTTCCTTTTTTTCCTTCCCTCCTAGGTTTCCTATTTCTAGCTATCTTTCAGAATTTTCATCTATGAGCCACATCACCAGAAAGAAAGCAAGGATAAGAAGTGAAAGTTCTGGACCTCCCTGGTGGCCTAGGGGTTAAGTCTCAGAAGCTGTACTGCTACAACCTGAGTTCAGCCTGAGTTTGATCCTGGGCCAGGCAGTTAACCCACAGATGGTGCAGCAGACCCCTCCTGTCTCACCCGCTGTCCCCTCAGGAGTGTAAATTTGCCTGTTCTGCTCCCAACTCTGTCTCAGGTGAATCCTCTCACCCCCGACTGCCTGCACCTCTGACCTACACCCCAGACCTTGTATGCAAAATAAATAAATAAATCTTTTTTGAAAAAAGTGAAATTTCACAAGTAATTCAGCAGAAATTGCAAGTCAACTGGAACATTGATCATTCTGAACAATGCTGCTTCCCTTACTGAATAAATCTAATCAATATTCTAAGTAATAATCCATATTTTAGCTAAAACAGCACAAATGAGAACTGTTAGATCTTACCTGATGCTTCATATAATGATGCATATAAGGTGTAGCAATTTTAATAACTTTGAGGCAAAATGGACATAGCAAGTTCTTAGTGTTTTCATGGGATGTTCTAAAATGAGTTTCTACATCACAAAATGATGAAGATCTATAATTGCAAACCTACAAATAAAAACATCATATTTAACTGGAAAATGTATAATATAAAATTACAAAATAATAGTGATAGATTATGTATTAGAATGTTATGTACGACTAATTTAGCTCTGATGAATTAGTACACAACCAAGAAACCCATTAATCAAAGTTTCAAATGATAATCATTGAGATAGAAAAGTTATCTTTCAAAGATTAGGGCAACTCCTCAAAACAGAACTAAGTTCCTTTCTTTTTAGAAGACCTTATTTTTCAACTTCTATCATGACCTGAATTTTCAAGCTCTTACACCTCTTGATCTATAAAGTTTTTTCTGCTACATACAATAGCATTCTCCTTTACATTACAAACGGCCTCCAAATATGGCAGTAACAATTTATTTTTACCTTGCTTTCCTATTTCTTCACATTATGAAAAATAATGGTCCACAGCATTTGGTAGGGTTGTCTGTTACTTAAACATTTCATACTTCCCTTATATGCCTATACTCTACCTTACATGGTAAAATAAAACAATGTATTTTTCTTTCTCCTACAGGGTTTTTCTAAGTTCATTATGGGAGTATTTAAACAATGGCCTGTTGGGTCATTTCCAACTCCCAGACTCAAAAACAATGCATAAGTTCAGGTTCAAAGGCTTCCCATGAATAAATATTTTACAAGAGGAATTTTAATTTTAGTAACCAATTTTATCTAAATGGCTGTAAAAATAAAATAATATATTTTATGACAAATGAATATATAAGGATTTATCTCATGACACATAAAAATTATATAAAATTTGAATTTTAGTGTCCATAAACTTTTACTGAGACACAGCCAAATCCATTCACTTACTTATTGTCCATGGATGCCTTTGTGTTACAATGGCAGAGTTGATTAGTTGCGACAAAACCTTATGACCCTCAAAGCCTGAATATTTACTATCTTGCCCTGTATTTATAGACGGAAATTTGCTGACGACTTAGTAGTTAAAATCTTGTAACCAAAACAACAGACACTAATACAAAATACAATATGTGCATACCTGGCAAATATATGGCATTTCACCAGGCTTATGATTGTCCTTCATATGTTGTAAAAGAATATGCTCTGTTTCAAATGATAATTCACAGATTTTGCAAATGGCTAAAAAGAGAAGGGGGGGGAAGAGATTCTGCAATTTAAAAAACACACATACACATGTATCATTCATTTTATATACCTGTAACAACAACAAGTAGTACTGGTGGTAGTGGTGGTAATCAATGATTCTAAATATTATAGTAACTCAATTTCTATAATAACATTATAAAGCAAGATTTCTATTATTCTCATTATTTCAATATTAACTAACTTTCCTGAGATCACATAGCTGTATTAAGAGACAGAGCTTGGATTTTAACTCAAGCTATCTAATAACAAAATCTGTGATTTTAACCACCATTGTTGTGATTTTTCTTATTAAAAATTTACATGAAAGATATTGATTACATATCTGAAAAATATGACTAAAGCTTCTATTTAGTCCCCCACATATAAAGCACAGGTTATTTACCTTAATGAGTGATTTACAAGAGGAATTTGAATTTTAGTAAAATAATTTTATTAAAAGTTTATATAAATTGGGCCTCCCCGGTGGCGCAGCGGTTGAGCGCTGGGTTGCGAAGCTGCCCGCAGCCTCTGAGGCGCCGGTTCGATCCCCGGCTGCTCCCCGGCCACCAGAGGAGGATCCCACATGGCGCGCAGACCTCTCCTGCGGCCCGCTGCTCCCCTCAGCAGTGTACTTCGGTCCTTCTGCCTGCCTGCTCTGCTCCCCACTCTGGCTCTGGTGAATTCTCTCACCCTCCCGCGCTTCTGACTGTACCCAGTGCATGTATAAACAAAAACAAACAAACAAACAAATAAATAAATAAACAAACAAACATGCCTCTATTAAAAAAAAAAAAAAAAAGTTTATATAAATTAAAACTAATTTTTTTTTCAATTTTGCCCTCAAATTCCAAAGTCTTATTCTTATTTTTCTAACAGACTTCTTTTTGTCAGAATTTGTATTATCAAAATCAACAATACTAAATACTGAAATGAAATTATAACTTACTAGAAAATTCATGGGGGGTGTGTGTACTTTCAATGTGACACTGCAGTTGAAATGGTGTGGGAAACTGACGGTAGCAGTGCTGGCAGGTGGTGTGGTTTTCCCAGCTCTCACTGCTCTGCTTCTCAAGTTCCAAATGGTGTTTCATGTGGTTCATAAACCTACAAATGATTGTCAACAGGTGCAAAAATTCAGATTTAAAAAGAAAAATCTCAAAAATAAGTATCTGAACCTAAGTCTTAAGAATATAGATGTAGTACTCAAAATGAACTTTCAAATGTCATAAAAGTCCCTAGAAAAATGTGCATGTAAGTAATCACTTTCATTAAGTCACTAATTAAACTCTTTTCATCTTTGTATTAAAATAATTCATTAATATAATTATCATTAATTTTCTCTAATCTTAACCATTTTAATTATTAAGAAGTTTTTTAAAGACAAACAGCAGACTTCTTTTCCATACATGAAATAATATTTACAAACAAAATCGTAAAGGGAAGGAAACTCTTCACTAAAATCAGCTACAAAGTGATGAGAAAAATATTTTAAGCCTATGAAGATATACAATAGATTCCAGCTGTTTAAAAGAGAAATTACTGGTACTTTTAGTTGGGTCCGGTTTCTAAATGCATGTAATAGCAATTTTAATGTCTACAATTACAATTATTTAATGATTAATGGTTTACCATTAGCATGATTGTTCATTTTAACTTGCAGACAGTGCCCTTTGCAGGCAATGTCCATTTTTCAGTTTTACACTCTGCTATTTCAGCTTCCCTAAAAAGGTTTTTTATGTGCAGAAACTATGACCTTCAATAGCAGATAGTGCAGCATAAATGAGAATACCTATTTAAAAGAGCTCACTCTAGCTTTTTACTGAATTTAAAAGTAAAGTTACTCAATCAAAGTAACAAATTTTTAGACTGGATCAACTATTAACAATTACTCACTTTGAATCCCTGAAAGAAATAATCTTGAAACAATGAGATAATGTCATCAATGACACGGATAGCAATCATCACCAAAGTTATAACATTTATCTCTCACCCTTCCACATCACTACTTCACTTTGAAGTGGGTATGTCACACCATGAAATCTTTTTGTCCTACTGCAGTTTTAATACCAGCTTTACAAACATTTATAGATATTTCTATTCTTGGCTAAATATTAAAATGAGGGAAGGAAACTCCTAAGAATTTTCATAGAATAAAATAAATCTGGTTTTGGTGACACTTAAAATGTAGGAAAAACACACATACACACAAATGATAATGGGGAAGAGAACAGAAATCTATATAGCAATCAGTTTCATACTAGTCTCTACAAATTCCCTTCCCAGTTTTTACTGTTAAGATAAATTATTATTTAACATTAACATATATAACTTACTGGTCATGAAGTATTCACCATCAATGTTTCACTTACTAAACAATCAATTCTTTAAAATGCTCAATTCCTAGATATTAAAAATGCTTACAATTTCTGGATATTCTGATAATCTAGAAATATACAATTAAGCTTCAGAAACAATAACCAAAAAATGATTTTTGTTTAATATTAAATGAGCTAATATTAAAGGGAGGGCAAGGAACCTATTGCTGAAACTAGTATCAGGTATAAATGTTTAAGTACATAATGAGTGAACCATGTTTCTATTCTTCTTACCATATTTACTAACATGATTTTACTGGTGTATTTTACAATTGAAATGCTAGAATATGGAATAGGTGACAAAGTTTCAGTATTATGCCACAAAGCACAGTACCATTTCTGTTAAACTAAAACCTTGAAAAAAGGAGATAAAGAAATGTGAAAATGCATATGAAATAACCTAGAGAAAAATATTGAAAACTATAAAGCATAAATAAGACATTAATAATTGTCATAGGAGAATATCACAGTGTATATTTTCAGAATTTTCTATATGCTGCATTTTGGACCCAACTTGGAGGAGAATAAAACAAATACTGGGTACAGAAGTAATCTGTTATAAATAAAAACAATCATGGGTAAACATAAGAAAATATACATATACTATTTTCTGTATACACACACACACTCACACACACACCTCTCACCAAAGAGAGATACACCAATATCTGCCACTTTGGGGGGAAAAAATTCTGAAATAGTTTGAAGAAAGAATAAAAAGATAAATGATAAAACAGGTAGAGTAAAATATTAATGTTAAGATCAAACTAATAAATATACACTGTCCACTGTAAAATATTTAAAACTTTGTTGAATGAAATTTTTTATAATAAAAAGGTGGAAAACAATTTTACATAATATAAACATCAAGCTATGCAATCAATGAAAAATATCAGGTACTATGTCCTGTTACTCTGTTTTTGTTATTCATTTGGGAGGATAGCTACTAAAATGCCTTCTAACTCGAAGATTACAAAGTATAAATAAGGTCCTAAGTTTTAAACATAGTGTATAAAATCTTCCAAATTCCACTGGAAATTAAATCTCTAATTTTTAAAGGTGTTAAATTTTGAAATAACACAGGTATCTTTACTAGAACTTGACTGCTCTAAAGAAGATTCCAGCAAACTAAATTTTTTAAAAATTAAAATATAAATTGAAAGATATGCACATTAGTACAATAAGTATTAGGGTCAAAATGAACAAGCAAAGAAGTGGCTCCTCTTTGATGTGGAAAAAAAATGAAACTCAAATGCAGCTAAAAATGAAAATTATCTCATGACAATGCCTTTGGAAAAAGAAGTTAATTTTGCCTCATGTGAAATAAAGACTGTCCTCTCTTAAATTATCTAAAAGAAATACAAACTAGTGGATCCAGGAGTCAACTCTAAAATACAAGAAAGGAAACAAATTTTTTTCAAGAGATTCTGCCTTTGTTCTTGGCAGAAAATTTTAAGATCACTTATAGGGAATGGCACAGAAAAAAGCAAAATAAAAATGAAACACCTTATATCCTTAGCACTCTAATTTTCTGATAGAAATAAAGTAAGTATTTACATACCTAATATTATTTTTAAGAATTTTCAAGCAACTGAAGCATTTAAAGGTTGTATGAGTCTTCTGTTCTTCCTGGACATCTCCTTCATGTTTTCCATAATAAAAGTCATTAACTAGCATGATCAATTTTCCTTTCTCTGAATCAACAGTCTTATTTTTATTTGATGTATTTGAAAATTCTGTTTTAGTCAGTCCCAAAAAGTTATTTATCATGTCTGGACAACAGTACTGAAAGAGAAAAAACAGAAGCCTTATACATCCCTACAAAAATTATATATAAAAAATTTCTCCAAGGCCAAACCATGCAAAACTATGTTGGTAATATAATATATTCTCCAAAAGTTTGTGGTACATATACATACTCTAAAAATTCCAAACCAGGACTTAACTGTTGCTCTTACAATTTTTATTTAAAATTACCTTTCCAAATAGACATATTTAACAATAATTTAAATATTTAAATTAACTAAACAAAACAAAACCCAATTATTTTATACTTGTGTGAAGAAGAAGTATAAAAAGGAAATGAGGTTTTAGATGCCAAAATATGTATGTTTAATTATCAAGTGAAATACTATACATTATAATTTCTGGTTGCAACTGACATTTCACACATTTAATCTGCCCTTCTCCAGATTCAGGGTGTTAGAAAATGTTAGGGATAAAAAGCAGCATCAGTAATCCAGAAAATGACCCCAAGTCCTAACGCCAATTTATGATACTATAAAAATATCAGCTTTCAAAAATAACAATTCCTGTGGACAACTAGGAAAAAATATCCAATCATTTATAAATAACTCAGGGTTATACCAGACTTCTGAACAGCAATATTTAATACTATAAAACAGAAGCACCATCACCAATATCCTGAGCGTTGGATTCAGTTTACCTCATACCTAGCCAAACTGACTTTCAAGAATGAATTATAGTCAAATGGTTTTGAACATGAAAGAACACAAAGAGTGCTGTCACCATGCCCTTTATTAAGAAATTACTAGATAATAAACTTAGGCCAAACAAGAGATAACCAAAGAAACCACAATAAAAATAATGGTGATGAGCACTAAATATATATTTACTTTGGAAAAGGATTAAAATTAATGTGGAGATAAAACTAAATGTAAATGTTATATGTTCTGACTATAGAAAAATGATACAACCAACAAATGAAAACTGGGAAGGGACAGAAGCACAATAAAACTGAATGGAGAAAGTTCATAGATTGCCTTACATATGTTAAGAGCACTTAAAGGAATATCATGTAGGTTTACCAAAGAAAGTAATATAAGAATGAGTGTTTTAAAAATAGTACAATAAACACATTCAGAACGGTAATATTGACTAAAATCAGGCAGGAGAGGAAAAGGGAAAGATGAGTGTATTAATAACAGGCAGCTTAATATGACACTAATAAATTATAATAGTAGAGAATGGTCAAAGAAATAAAAGACAATTGGAATTATAGAACATTAAAATCATAAGGATAAATAGTAAAACAAAAATATAACTGCCCTAACTCCAAACTACATACATACAACCATATAATGAAAGATTGACTTTTTAAAAAGGTAAGAGAAAAATGTGACATAAACGAGTTTAACTCAACTACTAGAATAAAAAGAATGTTCATATAGGAAAATAAAGGAAAAGGCAACTCTGCTGAGTGCAAGAGGCAAAACTAAAACAAAATGATTCAGAAGAATTGAAAAGAAAAGAAAAAGCCAAGAATACACTAGGCAAATGAGAATCTTAAGACAAGGGCTGTGAGCCTAAAAGGCATTAAAACATTAAGACAAAATGCTAAACAATGCATTCGCATTACAGTTGAAAGAATTAAAATTTATATCACAAACAGCGACATCCTTAAAATGGAGTAACAATGTATCAAAGAAAATACAATAATGATGCAGATTGAGATATATTTCTCAATGCATAACAGAACAAGCAGCAAAAAGCAGGTGAAGACACAGAATTTGTTGATAAATATAAAATTCCAGCCCCTATGAAAGAAATAATATACCATTATAAAGTTTCCACGTAATGTTGAAGAACACATATACTTTCAAAAAGAAAAAAAATCATGTGCAACTTGGATTTTTTTTACCATGAAGGGTTTAAATGCAAATTGTACCAATTAACTAGCTAAAGGAATTTTCTAAGATTAAATGAAATAACGCACTTAAGGTTTAGTGATCTGATCATTAATTGCTATAAAAATATCTGATTATTGTTTTAAATATTCTCTACTGAAAGAAAACATTTCTGTGGTACAGGCATATACTCATCTACAATAACAGTCCAAATCTAAAAATTACATTTTTTCAAAATGGAAATTGTTACCATAAAATAAAAACTTTACTATATAAAATCCATAAGCCAGAATATAAAAAGTTCAGTTTTAAATTTCTCTGTCCTAGAATTGTTCTAGACTACTGAATCAGAGTTCTTTATATATAAACACAGACACTATTCATATTCAACTTAGTTCAATAATGTCTTAAGATCATTATAGAGATCATGCCCTCTTAAAATGCTTCTTAAAATGTACTATTATACAAATACTATTTGAAGTTTTGGTTGTTTTGAATGTGAGTAATCACAAACAATACTGTAATATATTTTGGAAGTAAAGCTGCCATTTTGGAAAATGGTTTCCAGTTTCCCCAGATACAGTATATTACATGCTACAACTTGTATACAAAATAGAAAAGAAATAAGAACTTTTGTGTTCACCATATGCAGAAAGAAAATCAGAGAGGATATGAAACTAACAAAAATTATTTTCTTTGAGAGTCACACTGGAAACCAGGTAAATAAGCAACAGGGATAATATTTTTCACCTATAAGCTTCTGTAAACTTTTTTTTAATTTGAATATGATTTTATTGCCTACTCAAATAATTAGAGATAGTTAAAGAATTTAGCCCTAAAGTGTGAAACTACATTCCTAAAGTATATACAGAATTATAAATCAATGTTACCCCAATTAACATAATAATAAAAAGAATTTAGCCCTTTATTTTTTTCTCTCCATCTATTATATGAAACATAAAAAATCATCAGGTAATTCATCAAAATATTACACAGATAAAATCAACAGAAGGAACATGTAAGATACTGAAAATGGATACAAAAAATAATTACAGATAGTAAAATTAAAAGCACTTGTACAAGTTAATTCTCATAAAAGAAGAAAGAACAAACTGTACTTCTCAGAGACTACATTCTGGGTGCTGGAACTATGATTGACCAAATACAGTTTGTACAGGAATTAATAGACTGTATCTGAAATTCTGAAAAATTAATTTTTCCTTTTTTTTTGGTGAAATGCTGAATTTCAATAAAAAAAATTGTCAGTCACTGAAACAGCAAGAAATTTTCCTTAGTTATTTCTTTGCCATTGTACCTTTCACCTTTTCTCTTTTTTGCATAATCTATATTGCTTTTTTTTAAGATTTATTTATTTATGCATATAAGAACTAGGCTGTAGGCCAGAGATGGGGGGCAGTTTGAGAGGATTCACCAGAGACAGAGTGGGGAACAGTCCAGGCAGAATGACTAAAACACACTGCTGAGAGGAGCATTGAGGGAGACAGGAGAGGTCTGCACCATGTGGGTTAGCTCCCTGGCAGGCTGGGGATTGAACTCAGGCTGCTGTGGCTGTTGAACTTGTGCTGCAGTAGCTGGCAACAGCTTGATAGCTCTGTCTTTAACCCCTACATCACCAAGGAGGCCCTGACATTGCCTTTTTTCTTGTCTCTTTTCTTCTACTTGCTATTTATATTGGACATGCAAGAATATAAGCTTATAAGAATATAAGCTATAAACACAGCAGGGCACTCCAATATTTACTAAAATGTTTCAAGTGAAGTATTACCTAAACCTTACATTACCTAAACCTTTAAGTTATCTGCAACTTAATTTTTTTTTTTTTTAAATCTGGGGCCTCCTGGTAGCACAGGAGTTAGTCTCAGTGCTATCAAGCTCTCACCAGCCACTGCAGCATGAGTTTGATCCTGGCCAGGGAGTTGACCCACATGGCACAGCAGACCTCTCCAGTCTTGCCTGCTGCTCCTCTCAGCAGTGTATTTCAGATTTGCCTGTTCTGCTCCCCACTGTCTCTGGTGAATACTATCACCCCCTGAACTTCTGACCTAGATCCCAGTTCTTGTATGCATAAATAAAATAAATCCTTAAAAAAATTTTTTTAAGTCTAAGTTTAAGAGACTTCTATATAAATAAAAATCTTAATTTATAATAATTACAGAAGTGATAGTCTGGACTGAGTTAAAATAATTATTTGACATGAAATGCTCTATCATGTGGAATTTATGTATGAATACTAACAATTAAAATGTAAAACTCAGATTTTCATTGTGTAATATGATATACACATGTCAACATGAACACAAAATAAGGTAGCAGAAGAAACTGTTCAATTGTATGAAAGATTAAATTCATAATAAAATTCATTTTGTAAGAAGCTTGAACTATGGCTAGGCATAATCTAGTGAGTAAAATATTCTCATATTATTTTCATTTAAAATTAGAATATATTAAGCTTAAATTATAATGTATATGAACTTAATTTTTTAAATTGGTGATTTAGAAGGAATTTAAAAATCCTATATAAAAATAATCATCATGAATATATTTTACCTAAGTGATATAGAAACACCAAATGATAAGATTTCTTATCTATGTACCTGTACATGTTATTATCTACTCATTAGTAGTTAGAGGAATTTGTAATTTTTTTAAATTAAATTTTAAGAAACTTTACCGTCATGTGATTTTTCAAAGGATCCAAAAGATTGAAATGAATATTGCACTTTGGGCAAGCTCTCGGAAAAGGTGTTCCATTTTTAGATTGAGTTGATAAGGCATTTGTACCTAAAATAAATTCAAAATATTTATGATTCAAAATTCATCATTTTCAAACCTTAAATAACTAACAATACTATGTAAATTTACTATAATTTCTGAAGTTTATGTATAAATAAATACTATAATTTCTTTGTTAAGTAACACATTTTATATTTACCTTTTGAAGGAATAGCCTGAGGAGATGTCACTGAAGGAGATTTAACTGTAGGAAATACAGCTGATGAATTTGCTCCAGAAACACCTTCACTGGGTTTGGGTTTTTTTGGATTAACACTGTTTACTTCAGATGTAGAAGGACGTTTTGACAGTGAACTTTCATTCATACCTACAGTGATGGAAATAATGTGAAAAATACTTTAAAGTGCTTCAGAATATTGCTTACAACTAAGTAAACATTAAATTGGAACTAAATTAAAGGGAATATAACTGAATTATACAAAAGACAGTGACAAAATTAATGTAATCAAGTATCAGGAGATGTAATGACAAAACAGATCAAAATGTTTCAAGCAGAAAAAAAAAAAGGGAAGACAAAGTATGCAGAATATTTCCAACTCTGTTCCTCCAACTGAATCATTTTTAGATGCTAAAGTGCATTAGGGTTTAAAAATATATATTTATTCCATAAATTTAGAGATACCCTTTACAAGCATTTTATTTAACTTAAAATGTCTAATGGAAAGTCTGTTCTTTTTCCATCTAACAAAGAAATGGTATATTCAGTTTTAGGTTACATATTCCATTTTTTTCTTTTGTACAAAGTAGCAAGTAAATCTTGAATGATAATACCTCATTCATTCATTCATTGATATGAAAGGGCTCATGGAAGGAGTTAGTACAATGGTTTTCCAATTTTGTTCCTCACAGCCTTATGGACTCATCTTAGGGAATATATTGGGCATATATGACAGAGAAACTCTCCTTTTATATTTATTAAGTTTTTGCATGAACGTTTGTACACCCAGGGATTTCATTCCTAAAAATAGTTTCTAGTTTAAAAACCATCAAGTAAATGGATCAAGAAAATGTGGTATATGCAGACAATGGAATACTTCTCATCAATCAAAAAAGATAAACTCATGCCATTCACAGCAACATGGGTGGAGCTGGAAGGGGTTACGTTCAGTGAAATAAGTTAGAAGGGAAAAGAAAAATACAGGATGGGGCCTCCCCGGTGGCACAGCGGTTTAGCGCTGGGTTGCGAAGCTGCCCGCGGCCTCTGCAGCACCGGTTCAATCCCCGGCTACCGGGTGAGGGTCCCACATGGCATGCAGACCTCTCCTGCCACCCACTGCTCCCCTCAGCAGTGTGTTTCGTCAGTCTGTCTGTTCTGCTCCCTGCTCTGGCTCTGGTGAATTCTCTCACCATCCCGCACTTCTGACTGTACCAAGTGATTGTATAAATAAATAAATAAATCTTTAAAAAAAAAAAAAAGAAAAATACAAGATGGTTTCACTCACAGGAGGAATAAGGGGAAACCAAACAAAGTGTCAAACAAAGACAAAATGTGCAGGCAAAAAGACGCAACCTATGAAGCTATCCGCAGCCACTGCAGCACGAGTTCGATCCCTGGCCAGGGAGATACCCACATGGTGCAGCAAACCTCTCCTGACTTGCCCGCTGCGCCCCTCAGCAGTATATTTCAAGTCAATCTGTCTGTTCTGTTCCCCACTCTGTCTCTGGTAAATCCTCCCACCCCCCCACACCTCTGGCCTGTACCCCAGTTCTTGCATGCATAAATAAATAAATCTTTAAAAAAAATATAGATCTAAGGCATACAGCAGAGGAGGGGGGAGCAAGAGGGATCAAAACAGGGCAGGGAAGAGCACAAGTGATTATGGTGACAATTCACAGGTGATGTGCTAGTAAGAGATTTCGGGAACTACACTTGAGGGGAGAAATCAAATACTATACAAAAATGAACAATGATGTAAGAAATAAAAAAGTAACATGAAAAAAGAAATTTTGAACTTAGTTGGCTTGGGGCAGGCCTAGAAATCTGCAATTACAATGGGCTTCCTTAGGTGATTCTAATGTTGGTGTGGACCAGACTTAAATAAAAGTTACACCTAAAAAAAAAAATTAATAAATAAAAGCCACCATCTTAAAGTTAAAGGATTTTAGCATACTCACAGTTTTAGCAAAAGAAATTAGAATATTTTGGTTATAACTAGGCCACAAAGCAAATGTGCTTTCTGAAAATAACAGAAAAGTACATAGTAATAAGTATTCTAAAACTGCACATCTTATTTTAATGTTGCCAAATATACTAAAGTAAATGAAATGAAGTAAATATATTAAAAATAATTGACTTTTAAGTCAAACAATACAAGTTTAAATTCATGCCTGTCACTGACTATGTTTTCTTTTTTTTCAAATATTTATTTATTTATGCATACAAGAACTGGGGTACACGCCAGAGGTGTTGGGGGTTGAGAGGATTCACCAGAGACAGAGTGGGGAACAGAACAGGCAGAGTGACCGAAGTACACTGCTGAGGGGAGCAGCGGGCGAGTCAGGAGAGGTCTGCTGTGCCATGTGGGATGCTCCCTGGTTGGCAGGGGATCGAACTCGCGCCGCAGTGGCCGTGGATAGCTTCATAGGTTGCGTCTCAACCCCTTGCGCCACCATGGAGGCCCCTGACTACATATTCTTGACTTATTGAATTAATTTCTCTGAATCTCAGTTTCTTCTTCTGTAAAATAAAAGTATATTACCTATTTTTACAGAGCTGTTCTTAGGATCAAATAAGACAGTGTATTTTAAGTACTCTAGACAACATCTCGCAAATAGAAAGCATTCAATAAATGACAGCTATTCTCATTACTACTGAAATATTTTATATCTTAACTTACTTTAGAGCAAATTATTCTAATGGGTGTATGTATACGTTTTTTTAATAAGGGGAAACATGCCAGAAAAATGTTAAGAGTAATGCACTGTTTAGTTACTCTGTTTCATTCTTTGAGATAACATGAAAATGATTTTTTACCCATCTTCAAAGCACATGATTACTGATAGCTACACTATGAGCACTTGAAAAAAATTCTATAATCACAGTATCATTCTTGTAAGATGCTTTACATTACTTTAAGAAATCAATGAGTGCTGGTATTTTGAATTAAGCATCTATTATATAACAGGATGAATGCTAGAAACAGATTGTTTTACTGTGAGAATTTTTTTAACCTAAGAAATAAAATTACTCTATATAAGAGCTTTAAATTTTTAAACTTATCTCTGTTGTCTTTGGCTTGCTCTGTTTCCTGCCCTCCATAGCACTCTGACAGTAAAAATCTTATTTCTCATCTTTCAATGAGAAATCTTATTCTCATTCAAGATCAAGCTCAAATCCAAACTTCTCCAAACATTTGTGTCTACTTGGCAGTGATCAATCATGTTACCAAAAATTTACACATACTGTCATTCATAATTATCAATTATAACAACTCTTTGTCAAGTCCTATAAAGCTCATCATGCAGTTTCACACTTTATCTATTTGAGTTTCAAAAACCCTGACTAAAGTAGTGTAAGAATTAAAATTTTATCTTTAAATGGCTGTTTTCAGATCTGGAAAACGAATGTATTATAAAAGGAAATTTCCATTTTAACCATATGAGAAAACTGAAGTGTGATGATCTGATAAGGACTTAAACATAACAGTTCAAATATGCAGCTTCCAAATCATCCTACTTACTGCTCAGGCCAAAGTCTCACTATCAGTAGTAGAAAACTAGAGGATAAGTAGGAGTCACTATCCTTATTCCCAAGAAGTTTCAATAACTCAGATTTTGTTTTTTATGACCATGCACTTTGTAAAACCAGACTTAAGATACCTATTTTTTTCCCTTGCTTTTTTTGGTTACTATGGTTTACCTAACTAGATTTTTACAAGTCTGTAAGTGATACTTGAAGTGACTATCAAAAGAAGTATCTAAACAGAAATACATTAATATTTTAGGCACTAATATTACTATAGTAAAATTGGGAAGTGTTTAGTAAATTCCCTACACTAATTTGTTAGTAAACAATATGAAAATTACCAAAAATCTTATGTATCGTTATTTAGTCAAATGCATGAAATGTATCAAAATTGTTCAAAAAAATAAATGCATTGATTAGAGAGAATTTTCAATTAGGTAAAATTCTTTTGCAGTACATTAAGTTAGTGAAGGACTTTGGTACAGTATACAATCTAAGAACTTTGAAACACTTCTACAATAGGAAAATGTCATTATTCCATCAATGGTCATTTACTGAGTACTTACTACATACAAATTTACTGCAGTGACTTTATAAGATCACTCTGTAATTACATTTCACTACCACATCTTAATGATTTATTACATAATGATACTGACCTAATTAAGAAACCAACTATAAACATTTATTTTTCTACATGAAGGCTATAGAAACTAATTAAAACTTCTTTAACAGAGCATTCAGGGTATCAAAAGACTTCTCCAACTTACAGAAATTATTTTAAGATTTTTTTAGTCCATGTTTGGTGTGAAGTGAGACAAGGTAGTTAACTAGTCTACTTAGTTGACAGTAAGAAATAAAATATTGTTATTAAATAAGATTTTACTTAAAACCACCCAAGTAAGGAATTCATGAACTATATATGCCATTCCATCTTGCAAATACATGAAAAAATTAATATGAAAGCTTGGCCTTCAAAACAAAGTCAATTCCATGTGCAAGTTCATCAAGTTTATTTCCTTTTTTTTTTTTTAAAAAAGTGCTAAAACTAACCTGTTATTGAAAGTGTTGGTTCCCCTTGGTAATGAGATAATCCTGTATCTTGAGTCAAATCAAAGAGTAACTCTGAAGAATTATTAGGTACAACTCGTGATGAGTTCGTTATATAACCCTGTTAAAATATTTCAAAGGAAGAATTTATTTATTCAACATAGTTATGATTATTTTGTTTCATAAACTTTTATAACAGTAAATTTAAGTGTATGCCAATATTATAAGGATAATCTTTGATGACATTACTAATGAGTTGTAACATATGAAGGTAATTATTACAATCTGCAAAATTATCATTTACTAAAATTGCAAACAGCTATTACTTAAAACTGCTTTATCCTGGACTAGTGAATTACAATAGGGTACAAATTCTAGTTTTTTTAAGGTGAAAGAAACATATAAATTCATTTCAAATCAATTAGATTGATACACTTTAGAGGGCAAGTAAAAATGCAGTGTTCCCATAAATGGGCAAACAAAACTTAGCATATGTGTAGGGTAAACAGGAAAAAATAGGTAAATACACTGACATTGACTCTAAATTTAAAAATTTATCTACCTCTATAAACCCCACATACAAAATATCAGGACAAAAAACCAAAATCAATCTGTAGTATTGTGCACCAAGATAGGACACAAATATACCACATAATATACACGTTTTAGAATCACCTTTATTGGAAAAATTTATAAGACAAGAGCCAGGAAGAGAAAGAATAGGTTCCCCACTTTTCTTACCACCCTAAACAAAGTCATGTTGGGCCCAAGTGATGTTCCATTTCACAGAGCAAATAGAAAACTGCCGAGGTCAGCAAGGGGAACAAATAAAAAGCCAGGAAGACAAAATTTACAATGGACAGTGTTTATAGCAATGACCTAGGTTAGCTGCTTTGATCTTGGAGCCCTCTGGGCTCAAGGGAAGTTCCAGACATTCCATCAGAAGAAAGGGTGGTTCCAACTGGAAGAAAGATCTCAAAGATCTCAAGGAAGGGAATGAAAAGTATAAATCATATGTGGTCAAGCATAAAGTATTATAAATATATGTATTAGCACAAACATAGATTAGTATAACTATGAAAATTATTGTCAATATTATGTAAAGATATATACTCCAATACTATTACATATTAAATATACTGATACACAAAATTTCAGTGCAATATATAAAACACCACTGTACAGAACTGAGCCCTCAGAGTGACATTTGGACTATTTTGTATGTCATAATATATAACAACTCAATTTAAAAATTAACTATACGTAAAAATTAAGAGGAAAAAGTCACATAAAGAAAAAAATGAACAAAGGACATAAATTGAGACGCTTCAAAGACAAAATACACATACCATACATATATACATGTATACATACACACACACACACACACACAAAGCCTTTTTTTCCAACTTACTAGACAAAAAGTTATAAATACAATGGCAATTTCTAACTACTGATACTGAACTGGCATGATTCTAAAGATGATAATATCTAATACTGTAAAAAATATGAGGAGCCTATAAAAGAAAGAACTGCAAGGTGTGGTCCTGACTAGACCCTAGGAAGGAAAAATATTAATGGAAAAACTTACAAAATTCAAATAAAGTCTAAAGTTTAGTTATTTATCTGATTATAAAAAGTCAGACGTTAACACCAGGGAAAACAGGGTAAAAGGGTATATGGGAATCTTCTGTATTATTTTTCCTCTAAGTCTAAAATTAATTTGAAATAAAGTTGAAGGTAGAAGCTGTATTTTGGTACAATTTTCTGCATGAAATTTTTGGTAGTAGCTATCCAAGGTCTCAAAAGGTTCACATCTTTTGATCCAACTATCCTACTTTAAAAATATTAAGGAAATGAAAATATTTAATTGAAAATTATAACAGCAAAAACATTAAAAGTCCTTAAGTCCAACAATGAAATGGGTAAATAAATTACAGACTACCATGTGACCAATATTACTGTTTTTGAGAAATAATCAATAACATAGTCCCAGTAAATGTCCAGTGGGGGGAAAAAAAAGAGGCTGTATCTGTATGTATAATTTTGATATACTCTATATTCTGTACACAGAGAGAAAAATTTAAAAATAGTATGCACTTTTCCATTTTTGCCATTTTATAATTAGGTAAACTATTGTTAGGTATAGTTACCGAAAACTTTGCAACCCAAATACATAACATTTAAAAATATAAACATAAAGATTTTGTTTTATGCTTACAAATTGAGGGACAATTACAGAATCTTGGTTTGCTACTAAACTTTTCTGTTTACATAGCCAATTAAGAAGTTATGAAAACAGGTATTGAAGGAGCCCAAACCACTCATAGAATCTGAGGCCTAATTTGAGGCCTAACAGGCAGTTTTCTGCATTTGAATTTTAATGTAGAATATAAAAAAATCAGTAATGCTGTATGATCTTTTTACTTCAAAATATTTTCTCCAAATATTTGCACTTAAAAAAATAGAAAATAATCACTTGTATTTTCCAAAATAGTTCTTTAACAAAACAACAAAATACTGTTTAACACTTTCATGTTAACAACTCTGGTTAGTCAAGCATCAAAATTTCAGAAAGAGGCCTCCTTGGAAGCACAGGGGTTAAAGACAGTGCCATCAAGCTATCGTCAGCCACTGCAGCATAAGTTCAATCCCCGGCCGGCCAGGAGGCTACCCATAAGGGGTGGCAGTCCTCTCCTATCTCAACAGCTGCTCCCCTCAGCAGTGTATTTCAGTAGATCTGCCTGTTCTGCTCCCTACTCTCTCTGGTGAATTCTCTCACCGTCCTGCACCTCTGGCTTACACACCAGTTCTTGTATGCATAAATAAATAAATCTTTAAAAAAAAATTTCAGAGTAGGAATGCCTTATTCAACAAGTAATTAAATAATAACAGTTAAATAATTATTTGTTGAATAATTAAAATAATTCTCCAGCAGGCATTTTTTAATGTCTGACAAAACAGTTCAGAAAAATATCAAATATAACAGTAAGGTAGAATAGTACCAGACTGGGATTCAGAAGACCTGTACATTTATTTAACTATACAACCTTGGGCAAGTTTCTTCTGAGCTTTAAGTTACTAACTTTCAAATTGAAATAGTAGGCACTGTTCTAAATGTACTTGCACTTCATAGTACCTATATGTATTAATTCAAGTAGCTGTCACAACAGTACTAATAAAAACCTAATTCATGCCCCATTTTACAAATAAGTAAACTAAGGCTAGGTGTAGTTACATAAAATTCCCAAAACAGTCTGATTGTTATTAACGGCACTATAATTAGAACACATGTCTAAAGCTATATCACACTGACTTTGTAACTGATAATAATACATCCCTGCCAACATGAACATCATGAGATAATGAGGTATAGAAATATTCCATGAAGAGTAAACATATACACAAAACATGATAAACTGAAAAACTATAATTATAACTTATCTAAATCAATAGCTTCCAAAATTCAAAATGAAGTGCCTTAAATAGGACTTCCAATACATTCCAGAATACATTTGTTTTTCCTAACTTTGGACATTAAAGTCACATGGAGAGTATTTTAAAATGTTATTTCCAGAACTCACCTGGACCAATTGACAAAATCTCTCCTTAAAAACTGTCTAGAGATTAGAAACCACCAATCAAGATGTTTTGATTAAAAATGATACCCACGGAAATAAAACATTGAGTTAGAAAAAGTTCTAATTTCTAACTTTTGTAACACTAAAGACACAATCCCTCCCTTTGTCATTTTTTCTCTCCCTGGGTCCAATGTAAGAAAGATTTTTATCTATCAAACTGCATTAAATAACGAAGTTCCTTTCTCCAGTTTTCTTTCCCACCAATGCCAGTTTATTGTAAGCATGAGAGAATCACTCAGCTAATATGATTTCAAATAATAGCAAAGAATCTTCACATTGCTCTCCATCTTCTGAAAACAGAAATAGCCTGTCAAACCCTAGGATTTAAGGTTTAGTTAGTGGTCTAGGTAAAATTTTTCATTTTAGAAATGGAGAAAATGAGGTTCAGAGAAGTTAGAATAAGGCATAATCAGTGTTCAAGTCTCTTGCTTCTATCTAAAGTTTTTTTTCTATCTAAATTTTTTAAACTACTGATTCACATCACTATTAATTATTACTTTAAGCTTCTTACACCACAGGAAAAGATCAAGAGTGTTCACCCAAAGTACTCTTATTTTTTAAAGATCTATTGATATACCTTCGAGACACAAGTGGGAGATTATTTAACAATAGATTTAAAAGGCTGTAGCTTTCCTTGTCATTTTTAAGCAAATTTAAGGATAACTCTTGTATAAAAGATACCACCTCAAAATATTAATATTTAGTACTAACAGACATGTTGATTACCTTATAGTAATACAATGTGATATATTTTAAAACTGTATTATTTATATTAAAAGTATTTTTATCAATTCTGGTTTTGAACTTGGAAATTTATAAAATCAATAGGGACTTTGGTAGTTGTTTCCCTTACTGTCAAAATAACAAACATTTTAAGGAAAAGTTACTATTACTCTGAGACCAATGCCAAACAGCTTATGATAAGCATGAGAAAACCACCACATTAATTTGACTCCAACTAATAACAAAGAATCTTTACATTTTGAGTATATTTTTTGCTTTGGTACTTTCTTTGGTTTCAAGACCTCTTTACACATTTAAATATTACTAAGGACCTTTCTCTTGATTTATGTGGGCTTTATCTATTGATATTCATCATATTAGAAAGTAAAACAGAGAAATTTTTAAATTTTTATTTATTTATTTTAAAATAACAATAAACCCATTACAGATTAACATAAAATAACAGTTTTATGAAAAATGACTATCTTGCAAACAAAATATTAGTTAAGAGTGGCAATTTCACATTTTTGTGAACCATAAATGTCCAGTTTAATAAAAAGTGCTGTAGTTTTGTATCTGCTTATGCTCTCAGTCTTTAGGGCAGATTGTTTCAGTTGAAAAATAGAAGAAAATCTGACTTCATAAAGATAAGCAGTTGAGGGGCCTCCCTGATGGCATAAGGGGTTAAATACAGCACTGTGAAGCTATCCACAGCCTCTGCAGCATGAGTTCGATCCCCAGACAGGGAGCAACCCACATGATGCAGCAGACCTCTCCTGTCTCGCCTGCTGCTCCCCTCAGTGGTCTATTTCAGTCAGTCTGCCTGTTCTGTTCCTCACTCCATCTCTGGTGAATCCTCTCACCCCCTGCACCTCTGGCTTGTATGCATAAATAAAGAAATCTTAAAAAAAAAAAGATAAGCAGTTGAAACAGGGAGCATTTTAATAGCAATTTAGTATAACTATGGATATATTTCTTTGATACTACACCAAAACTCAACAGTTCATGTTAAATGTTTTAATGTAGAATCTGATTTCATATCACTAAACTTTTTGTACTTTGTTACATTAAAATCTATTGGTCTAAAATCAACAACTATGAACCAGAGACACACTATGGGAAGGAGGTAGGGGAAAGGAGAGATTGGGGTCAAACTAAGGGGGTTGCAATTGTATGGGGAATATAAAAATAAAATTAAAAAAAATCTATTGGTCTATTTTACATTTTGAATAGATCTTTTATCCATGCATGGTTTTGTAATATCATGCATTAGTTATTAGGAAAACAGTGGTTCCTTTAAATTATGCAAATCTTCCAAATGCTGAAAGATTTCATTATATAAAATCACAGTCATATTTATTAATATGACCATGCACCTGAAAAATCTTTAAATATGGGGACGCTTTCAAGATCATGGTAGGATACACATTTTCAAACATTCTAATTTTTATATGAAATCTCCAATTTTATTAATAACAGAAATATTATGTTTCTTTCCTTTAAGTGACATGTAGATTTTGTTCAATTTTGAAGAAATGTCTGCCAAATAATCAAGAATGAAAAGTTCATTGTGTGGTTGACATATTTTAAAATGGCCTCCATAATGCCTATCACCAAGTATTCAAGTCTTAGATGATTTTCTACCTTTGAGTAGAGGTAAGACCTGTGACCTGCTTCCAACCAGAATACAGCAAAGGTGACAGGGTATGCATGATTTTGTGCACTCATTACCTTATATAATATTGTAATGCCATCTTCCTAAGGATTCTCTCTCATCTGATGGCTATGAGGAAGCAAGCAACCACGTTGGAAAGACCCATCTTGCAGGATCAAGTAAGATACAGTATGTCATACAACAACAGGGATACTTACTGAGAAATGTATTGTTAGGTTATTTGCCATTGTGTGAATATCGTACAGTGCAATTACATAAACCTATATAGTATAGTCTACTACAGACCTATGCTAGCTATTAGGAATATTGTAATAATATGTGTTCTATTATTGACTAAAACATCAGTAAGTTACATGTGACTGTACTGAGATGGTCAATCTGACAACTTTTAAGTAACTGAATGCTGACAATAATCGTGTGAACTCGGAAGCAGATATTTTCCCAGTAAAGCTTTAGATGAGATTGCAACCTTGGAGCTACAACTTGACTCTCACCTTGTGAGACCCTGAAGCAGAGGAGTCATGCCCTAACTATGAACCACAGAAATATGAAATAATACATGTGTGTTATTAAATCACTGAGTTCATGGTAATACTGCTACATTTAAATAATATACTGTAGTTTATCATCATTCTTTCAAGTAAAAATGGTCTTCTATTTTTAAAAGAGCAGGTAGTTTGGATCACAATTCAATCACATAAGTGCTTTTTCAAGATAACCATCACATTTCAGATAGAGATATACTTTATGCATACAAAATAAAAATTTTAAGAATACATATACAGGGGTAGAGCATTAACAAAATTGTTGTTTTAATACTTAGGGAAATTATGACTGAAATTTTTTTATTGTGAGTGCATGGTGATAACCAGTACAAAAACTACTAGTACAACTTGGTACCACTGTCTTGATTCATACAAAGACACCAGTACTTTACCCTCTACTGCCTGTGCATCATCAATGAAAATGTTAACACACTGAAAAGAGCAAACAGGGGCCTCCCTGGTGGCACAGGCGGTTGAGTGCAGCACTGTGAAGCTGTCCGCAGCCTATGCAGCGCCGGTTCGATCCCCAGCCGGCCTCGGAGCAACCCACATGGCAAGCAGACCTCTCCTGTCTCGCCCGCTGCTCCCCTCAGCAGTGTATTTCATCAGTCTGCCTGTTCTGTTCCCTACTCTGTCTCTGGTGAATCCTCTCTCCCTCTCGTGCATCTGGCCTGTACCCCGGCTCTTGTATAAATAAAATAAATCTTTAAAAAAAAAAAAAGAGCAAACAGTGTGTTTTATCATGACAAGTATTGATTTGGAAAGCCCAAGGACTTTAAGACTATACTTTGAAAACTGTTGCAATAAGGTATTATTTCCATTTTTTAAGTACATATTTATATACAACATGCATGTGTGTGTATATATACATATTGTGTATGTATGTACTTATAAATATCCTGACGTAAATATCCTGATCTATCATCTCCCAGTTACGTGACTTTGAGTGAATTGTTTAACCTCTGTGAGCCTCTTCCCTCAACTATGAAACAGGGATAATAATATTGTCAATTTCACAGGGATATTTAAGAATTAAATGAGATTAACCTATTTATAAGATTTAGCACAAAGATTTACACATTAACAGCTCAATAAATATTAACTATTACCATTATTTTTTTAACTATGAATTAAATTATATATCCAGAATTAAAAGCTATAATTTTCCCAGTTAAGAATGAAGAACATTTGGTTCACATTGTTTATAATCTTAAACAGTTTGTCATTATGCAATATTCATTATTGATTATACCTTTATTCCTATTTTGATAGCAGTTTTCAATAGTGTGCCTATTTAAGAATATTATCTGATTTATGAAAAGTCTGGCTATTTAGTTCCTACAGTTATTATTTTGAGTACTGGTTGCCCTATCATAAAGATGGTGACATTTGCTAAAGTGAATTATGCTTCTACTGGATAACAATCCATGATAGTCCAGATTTTTAACTAAGTATTGCTGATATTGATAAATAATATCCAATGTATCCCTCAACTGACTGTGTAGTTTCAAAACACTTACAGGTTTAGACAAAGGCTGAACAATAACAGAACTATCTGAAGATCTAGATTCAGGATGAAAATTTACTGGCGAGGCAGTCACTGGATTGGATGTTGGGTTCGTGTAGTGCTGACTTGTAGACTTGAATGCAGCAGTAATACCTGTATTTTAAAATTACACATTTTTAATTTTTAAAATTAAAAATAAATTGCATTTCTATATAATCAATTACATAAAAATATTTAAAGTTAAAATAGTATAATAATGTTGTACCTCGACTGAGTGCACCATTCTTTATTCCCCTTGAATATGAGCTGGGATTTACTCTGTTCAAAATATCTGTAAAAAAAAAGTATATTTATTTTTAAATTTCATTGTTTGAATGAAATATACATTAAGATAATAAAATCATTAATTAAAAACAAGTAAACAGATTCTTGAAAGGTGTATATGTTTTACTTATTTCAGAATAGTTAATTTTAAACAAATATATCTTCATCTACTAAGGGAACAAAAGAAGCAAGATTACCAGTCTTAAATTTCTAACAGAATAAAAACAAACTTTCTAACTATAACTCAAAATCCAAAAGCCGGAAAAAAGGATTAATAAATAAATCTCCCCTGATTTTATACATTACTTCTTTTTTTTTTTTTTAAGATTTTATTTATTTGGGCCTCCCCTGGTGGCACAGCAGTTGAGCTCTGGGCTGTGAAGCTGCCCGCAGCCTCTGCAGCACCAGTTCGATCCCCGGCCGCCAGCAAGGGTCCCACATGGCACGAGACCTCTCCTGCCAGGCCCGCTGCTCCTCTCAGCAGTGTATTTCGTCAGTCTGCCTGTTCTGTTCCCTGCTCTGGCTCTGGTGAATTCTCTCACCCTCCCACGCTTCTGACTGTACCCAGTGCTTATATAAATAAAATCTTTAAAAAAAAAAAATTTTATTTATTTATGCATACAAGAGCTGGGGTACAGGCCAGAGATGCGGCGGGTAAGAGGATTAACCAGAGACAGAGTAGGGAACAGAACAGGCAGATTGACTGAAATACACTGCTGAGGGGAGCAGCAGGTGAGTCAGGAGAGGTCTGCTGCGCCATGTTGCTCCCTGGCTAGTCGGGAATCAAACTCATGCTGCAGAGGCTGCAGATTGCTTCATAGTGCAGTGCTTAACCCCTTGTGCCACCAGGGAGGCCCCGATTTTATACATTACTTCTACGTATGCACTTTTATTACCTTTTTTAGCGGCCATTTTAGGAAGTGTATAGGTACCTTTGCTTTAACATTTTAACAATGTCAAATACAATTACTCTGTTATCTAATAATCCACAAATACACGTACAAGATGTTCTGATAGAAAGTCATAAAGATTTAAGTGTTAACTGCTTCAGACAGTGACTGTTAGACAATGCCCTTCTTTCATGAATATAAACATATGTTGCTGGAGAAGGGATAGTTAGGGCTGCCGCCCCAATTAGTACACAGGTCAGAAACTTACAATCATTCCTTGCCAAAACATTTTGTAATCAGCTATGGACAACACTATAATTAGGCAGTAACCTAGATATGAGAACCCCAATTTAGAATTAACAAACTTATTTAGTGTATTCTGACATTTTAAGCAAGTATTCTAAATTCTTCCTTTTCTTGACTTCAGGGTTTAAGTGAGAAAAAAAGAAAAATGAACAAACATTAAATAGGTTAGTTAGTTCCACTAAAAATCATGATTTCCAGTCTCAAAAGACCTCCAGTGTCACCAAATAATCTTATCCATTTCTTCCTCTGACAGCTGATATTTTAATCTCTTACCTCCTCCCTCATGTCCCCAACCAGATCACTACTCTTATCTTCAAATTATTCCAATCTCCTCCAGACCGTCTTAACAGAGGAAAAAGGAAAGTATCTATAACAGAGTTTGTAAGTTTTCCCTTTAGAAGCAGTATCTTATAAAACTTGTTTTCACTATGATAAATGCTTACTTGAAATTGCTGGTTTTGAACTTGTTATTTCCCCAACAAAGATTGGCTCATCATCATCATCATCTTCAACCTCTTTTACTTTCTTCTGCCATGGTTCCAGTTCTTCTTCTTCACATTCCATAAAGAGTTCTGCCATTTTTGAATTATCTAATTTTCAAAAGTAGAGAAGTAAACCTTATTTTCAAAAGAGAAAAATATGTTTTTTGGGAATATGTAGTATGATATTTAAGTTCTATTTTAATGATTTGAATAGCAATTTCTGAATTGATATTTGTAGTTAGTGCATGGTGGCAACACTAAGAAACTCAGAATTTCTTCTCCAAGATATAATTAGTAAATTTAGATAGATTGATAGAGAGACAGACAGACAGATGGACAGAGAGAAACAGACAAAAAGATAATGGCTGACAATAGTGACTAAAAAATTCTGGAAACATGCAAAGTGAGTTATAGTCAGATGCCTGGAATATGATTATATCTACAAAGAGGAAAATACCTAGCTATGATCTGAAACACACACACCCGACCTTAACAAATAGGAGATAAACTAAGAATAAGAGGTAACAGGTGGGAGATACACTGGAAAAATGAACCAGATTCAGGAATGCCAAGCACAAAGCTAAGCAAGGATGAAGTGCTACACTAAAACACGAAAATAAAGTGAAGCTTATTTATTCAAGAGAAATTAGACATTTCACATCTGAAGACACAGACCAAAGAACATCAAGTAATTATCATCAGTCTAGAAGTTCTGACCAAACTTTAAAACAAGCACTAGAAATTTTAGAAAAACTGCCTTTCATATCAAAATCCAATAAAATAAATAAAGACCCTAAGGAAAAGAAAGAAAACAGAAGACATGAAAAACATTAAAGATAAAATGAGCATCTATAGAAATAGCAAACACGAATGTTAGAATAATATTCAGAAAACAAGGGTATGGAAAGCATAACAGTCAAAGCTTTTTAGTTCAGTTAAAAAAAAAAAAAAAACTATTTCAGACATAGAACCAAGAAAGGAAAAACAAATTATCTGAGAAAAACATACTCTAGTGTACAACCACCCACCCACCCACTCCCCCTGCACCCCCCCCACACACAAACTAAAGAGAAAAGAGAACATATGGTTGTTAGAAAATCTATTTCAAGTTATAACATTAAAAATTACAAAAAGAAAAAGCTAAAGTAAGTTATCAAAGAAATAACACAAGAAAATTTCTTAGACTGGAGGATGTAAATCTCTGGACCCATGCGGAAGACTTCTAAACACATTTTACAAGGCCAGTATCCTGATATGGAAAGAGAGAAGAACAATACAAAAAAAGAAAACTGTATTGTAGTAGATATCAGAGCAGATGATGGGAAAAAAGGAGGAGAGGAGGAAGAGAAGGGGAGAAGATAGGGTATTGGCACTGGAGCCTCAGTGGAGAGTGAGTGAAGAAGCATGTGCATATATGGAAGTGCGTAGTTTTACTACCAAAATCACAGTTACGTAAATGATTGCTAGATCAACTTAAATTTGATTTTAAAAAAGAAAACTATAGACTAATATCCCTGAAGAACACAAATGCAAAAATTCTCAAGAAATCGTAGCAAGTCAATCCAAAAACACTTTAAGAGAATCATTTATTATGACCAAGTGGAATTCTCCCAGGGTTCAAGATGGTTCAACATAGACAAATTGACTAATAAACAGAAATCAAAGTGAAAACAAACCCTAGATATCTGACTGCAAAACTGAGGTTACAAGGGAAGGAGGCTAGTAGGAGGGGAGCAAGTAGGGAAGGAGACCCAACAGACTGTGGTAAAGGGTTATGGGTATTTTGGCAGTGGACATGGTGTTGTGCCATACATATGATACGGTATGAACCTACACCCTCAATTCATGCATAATGTTGTAAACCATTGTTACAACAATAAAAAGAGTACAATATATTTTTTAATGCTATTAACAGACACTATCAAAAGCTTTGGCAAAATTTAACACTCATTTATGATAAAAACCCTCAATAAAATGGAAATAAAAGAAACACACTTCAACATAATAAAGGCCATTTATGACATACCTACAGCAAACATCATACTCAGTGATGAAAAACTTAAAAGTTTGTCCCCTAAGATCAGGAAAAAAACAAGGACATCCATTTTCATCACTAGTGTTCCAAAATAGTTTAGGAAGTCCTAGCCAGAGCAATTAGGAAAGAAAAAGATATAAAAAGAATCCAAATTGTAAAAGAAAAATGACTATCATCATTTGTAGATGACATAATAATATACATAGAATATCCTAAAGACTCCACCAAACTACCACTAAAAGAAGTGAATACAGTAAAGTGGCAGGGTACAAAATCAATATACAAAAGTTGGTTTCATTTCCATATGTAAATAATCAGAGAAAAGAGAAATTAAGAAAATGTCACTTACAATCACATCAAAAAAGACAAAGAACCTTCAGAGCAAATGTAACTAAAAAGGTGAAAGACCTATGCACTAGACCTGTAAGACAATGCTGAAAGAAACAGATGACACACACACACAAAAATAGACAGTCTAAGCCCATGGATTAAAAGAATAAACATTTTTAAATGGCCATACTACCTATAACAGTTTAGGTTCAATGCAATCCCTATCAAATTCCAATGGCATTTTTCAAGAAAATAGAACAAACAATTCTAAAATTTGTGTGGAACCACAAAGATCCCAAGCAAGCAAGCAATCTTGAGGGGAAAAAGGAAGGAAAATGGAAGCGTTAGCTTAAATCATACAGTGTAAATATCAACTTACACTATAAAATGTTACTTATCAAAACACAATGGTACTGGAACAAAATCAAGACACACAGACCAATGGAATAAATTGAAAGTTCAGAAGTAAATGACCACATGTACAAGCAGTTAATTTATGACAAAAGAATCATAACCATACTGTAGAAAAAGGAAGTCTCTTCAACAAAAAGTGCTAGGAAAAGTGGACAGTCACATGCAAGAAAAAGAAAAAGGAAAAAGAAACCTAGATCACTATTTAACACTACACACAAAAATTAACTCAACAATGGTATAACTTGGTATAAGACTTGAATCCATAAAACACATAGAAAAAGTAAGTGGGAGATGATATTTGTTCATAATATATCTGACAAGGACTTACTATCCAAAAAAAAAAAAAGAGAATTTAAACAGACGTTTCTGCAAAGAAGATATACAGATGGCTAACAGGCACATGAAAAAAATGCTCAACTTCACTTGGAAATGCAAATCAAAACTATGATGAGATCTCATAGATGTGAGAATGGTCTATATCAAAATAATATGAGTTGGCATGGGTGTGGCAAAAAAGAAATTCTTGTTCACTGTTGTGGGAACATACTGGTGTAATCCCTATAGAAAATAGTATGGATATTCCTAAAAACCTAAAAATAATAACAACCATGTGATCCAGCAATACTTTTCCCAAGTATTTATCTAAAGAATATGAAAACACTAATTCAAAGAGATGTATGTACCCCTATGTTGATAGCAGCATTACTCAGAATAGTTAAGAAATGGAAACAGCCAAAACCAATGCCTATTAATGGATGATTGGCTAAAGAAAGTATGGTATACATATCAAATGGAATATTGCCAAGGTATTTTTAAAAAGATAAAATCTTGTCTTTTCTGACAACATGGAAGAAACCTGCAGTGATTATGCTAAGTGATGTAAGTCAGAAAGTGAAAGACAATTACTGGATGGTTTCTTTCATCTATGGAATATAAGTATACAAAGTAAACAAACTAGCAAATTACAACAAAAGTAACTCTTAGACTCAGTGAAAAATAAGAGTGGTTACCAGAAAGGGATGGGAAGGAAAGGTGGAGAGGGGGATGGAAAAGATAGAGGATGCCAACCTGATAGTGGGAATGGCACTAGAACTCTGGTGGTGGGTAAGATGAGGTTTATATACACATAGAGGTAAAGATGTGCCCTCAAAACTTATTTAGTATGATTAATCGGTAAAATTTTATTTAAAAAAAAAGTGTGCAAAGATTGAGTTTAACATTTTTCAACAAAGATTACAAATTGAAATGACAATATTGAGATATATTTGGTTAAATATATAATTTTAAATTTTTTTAAAGGCCCCACTAGTACCTATCAAGTTATGATCAAGAAATGATCAAGAAAAAGTTACACCAAGCCATAGCATGAAGTTTTAGAACAACAGAATTTAAGAGAATATCAAGTCAGGAAGAGCTGGGGGGAGGAAGAAGAAAGAAACAGGTTTTACATAAAAGATCAAAATAAGAACATACGCTACAAGACGTAGAATAAATGTTTTTAAAAGTCTTACCAAAATTTTTTTAATCTAGAATTCTATACCCAGCTGAATATTTCATCAAGCATTAAGTACAAAGATCAGAAACATCACATAAGATTTACTTTTTACATACATGCTTTCTTGGGAAGCTTCTACAACATCTACCAAAATATTAGACTTAATCAAGAAAGAGAATGACACATGATACAGGGCATTCACCACCGAACAGTTCCAGGACAATAGAAGCTCAGTAGGCCTAGACAACAACCAATCCAAAGTAGATCAGAAAACAGAACTTTAGGAGGGATGTCTTTGAGATACCAAATAAAAAATGATTTTAAAGAATTATATACATGTAGATTACCTCACAAGTTTTACTGTGTGGAAAACTGAATTGAGAAGCTACTGAAGGATATAGGAAGATTTGACTACAGATTTTAATAAAACTTAGTAAATGAGAAAACATAAAAAGCATTAATCGTTGGAAAAAAGAAAAAAATGAGTAAAATGTAATATATCCTTTTATAGCTATTCTATGTATAACAGCATATTACCATGCATTAATTAACAATATTTATTATGATCATCATAATGAAAACATTAAATATGGACTTAACCAAAAATTGGAATAATTATATTGGGGACTACTTAAAGGGAAGAGGTAGCTGTGAAAGAGCAAAAAATCCTCAACCACCAAGATTGAACACTATTAGAAAATGGTGAAAACTGATTGTTTGATAACAGCACATACACGTGTACAAGTAAGCATTCTTTAAAAAACTGTGGTTAAGTCATCTGAAGCGTTTACAGGTTGTTCGACATTTTAAACTATGTACATATATTGTTTTAAACTGAGATGGGGAGGAAAGAAAAGAACAGGAGAAGGAAGAGAAAATTGAGAGCCTAAACTAAATAGCAATGGAGATACACACAAGTGGTACTTAACTAGATATACAGAAGGGTTTAGGGGTAGGTGGTGACACCACTAAAGAAAAAAACCTCCAGGGTTTTGAGTTAGACAATAATATCTTTAAATTATCATTGAAATATAGTCATAACTGAAGATAAATTTTTTCTGTTAAAGTAATGCCACATCTCCTTTTGGTATTAAAATGGTCTTAAAACATACAAACTATAACAAAGAGAAATACCTTAACAGATTAGGTGCCACTGTTTTATAAATCAAAAAAAATTTTTCCTCATATAAAAGCATGTTATAACCATTTCCTGTTTCAATGTTTAAAATTTTAGTAATTGAACCGACCAAAAAAAAATGTTTTCCCATTTCCCTAATGTCATGAACATTATAAACTGATCCCTTTCTTTTCTAAATTGTACTGTTTTGCCAATTAAAGTTCAAGTCAAATGATTAAAAATATTATATATCTAAAGTCAAACTGAACTCATTAAGAGTATATTTTCCACATTAGATAAGCAGTAGACACATAGTATATAATAATCTATGAGAAAGGAAAGCAGGTAAATCAGGTAATGCCTAATTTTTAAAAAGTAGGCAGACTCACTGTATGCTGATGATAAAGGTACCATTCATTTCCAGTTGGTTTAAGCTATGAGTTGAAGTGTGTTTCCCTCAAATTGCTGAAGTCCTCACTACAAGTACCTCAAAATGTGACTATATTTGGAGACAGGGTCTTTAAAGAAGTAATTAAGCTAAAATGAGGTTACTAGGGTGGGTGACATTCCAAAATGACTGCTGTCCTTAAAAGAAGATATCAGGACTCAGACACATGCACGGAGGGAAAACCATCTGAAGATACAGGGAGCAGATGTCCATACAGAAGCCCAGGGGAAAGGACTGGAACAGATCCTTCTCCTGTGGCCCTAATAAGGAGTTCTGCCAACACTTTGATCTCAGACTTCTAGCGTTCAGAATTATGAAAAAATAAATTTCCTGTTGCTTAAGCCTGTGGTACTTTGCTATAGCAGTATTAGCAAATTAATAGAGAAGACAAAGTTCCTTATTCTTTGTAACAGGGCTCTGCCATTGTCAATATATCCAGGACATGTTGTTGAAAAAAATTATTTTAAAGACATATTAACAGCTTTATGAACTTTTTAAAAATAATTTATTTTTTGTATATACATAGAAGAAATATATGATTATGCCTATCAGTCTAACAATAGCTATTCAGTAGGCATAGAGAGGAAAAAAAATCTCATTTCTACTTTATTCATTGTTTTTCATTTGCATTACTTGTTTTTATGGGAACATTTGTTATTTTAAAATTTTTAAGTGTTTTTGTCTTTAAGAAAATGTGCCTACCTCCTCTCTTCCCTTCTCCTGAAGCAATTATCAGTACAAAAGCCACATACACTAGTATCATGGCAACAACACTTACTTTTTGGCTGAAAAGGGTTGTGGCCCATCAAGTTGCAGAGTTGACTTTCTTTAAATTGTCACCTAAGTACTGACACATGATATCAATCAATTTTATGAGTCACTGTAAGTATTGCCAAATATTGAAACACGAAACTTGGGATCCAAAAATTCTTAGATCTAATTTTGATCTTCAAACTCAACTCACCATGTGACTCCAGACAAAGCAGCAAGTTATACCTCAGTTTTCCTTCCTATAAAATAAAGACACCTAGTTATTAGTATAGGTTTCATTACCCTAAATGTACACATATTTAATCTTTTTTCTTATAAAAAGCTCAATTTTTAAGTTTGATATATTTGATAAAACACATTACATAATTGTTCCTTTCCTAAATGAACACAAATTTATTAAGTAAAATTGTGAATTAAGCATTTGCCTACTTGAAAAAGTCTGGATTATTAAATTACAAATAATTTTTTAAAGCATCCTTTTGTAAAAATGAGTAATCGCCTCACATACTATTTTAGTAAATTTGAACTTTCAACTAAGTAGCCTTATTCTTTAACTGTTACCTATTTTTCACACCTCAAAATTAAATTTTGAAAATGATTTCTGTAAGAAAACACAAATTTCAAATTATATTTTTCTATTATTTTATCAACTAACTTAAAATGAAAAGAAAATTAGTATATTTTATCATAATTAAAAAATACCACTCATTGTAATACAGTGCTAAATTCTAGGGGGGGGAAGATGAATAAGTCATAGTTCTTGCCTTCAGAAATTTAGTATCTAGTACATCTGTAGTTTTGGGGATTTGAAAGTTAAATTCTATTATAATAAATATTAAAATTTTTAAAATTATTTAAAACAGCAAATAGTGCCTTGGGTTCTCAAACACACAATAGCATACATTTTATAAAATATACCAAGTTCTAAAAATTGCTTTAGTCATAAAGCAAAAAAGGTTAAAAATTAGATTTCAGAAACCTGAAATATTCAGATACACAGCTAATTCAATCTTCACATTCCTCTTCATTCTCAGACTGACAAAAGAGTAAGTTTTCCTGCTTTTAGTTTTCAAATTATTTGAAATGAATTAGGGAAAAAAATTATTTCAACTTCAGAAGCTACTATGATACTTTTGAACTATCACAAAGAGAACCCAGTGAATCCTGTGTTTTACTAACCCAGTTCTGAGGTTTTACTGTTTATTTCTCTGTAATTCAGTTGTTTGAACAGCTGTAGCTTTTTCCTAAAGTAAAATCAGTGCTACAAATAAATGACAATTGTGGCTCATTATTTAGGAATAACCAGTGCCAAGAATTCGGAATTTTTTAAGAGTCACAATTACACTTCCTAAGAGTCATATTAAATATTTTTGCTGTGATTATTTAAATATCTCTTAGCAAAACTCTAAAATTAGTATTCAACTTAAAAATATTCAACGAATTAATGACCTATGCTAAGATAGCCACTACCTATGAATACAGCGATGACTTTAAGATAATCTACATCAAAAGACTGAGGACCATGGCAGCCACTTAGGAACTTAACTGCTATACACTTGTAAACATACCAAAATGTTGGAGAGTCTCAGATGCATTTAGAACCATCAGTTCAGTCCAAAGTTACACTGTAATATGGTAGCCAATAGCCACAATTGACTAAGTTTAAATTAATTAAAAGTAAATAAAATTTAAAATCCATTTCTTCAGTGTCATTAGCCACATTTCAAATGCACAAAGTCACATGTGGCTGATAAGTACTATATCATACAGTGCAGCTACAAACATATGTATCAGATAATACTGATCTAAAGTATTATTATCATATTTTATTCTGGCCAATAAACAAACAAAAAGTTTTAAGAGATTATTTTGGCACGTTAGTCTCGAAGTATGCCAAAACAATCGCCATAAAACCCCTCAAGTTCCCACTTCAGAATTTTGATGTTAAGGGATTGAATTCTGAGAATGATTAAATCCGTTGCCATTTAAGTGAGGAATCCAGCATAGATAGATAGTGGAGATCAACAACCTCCAAAAGATCTCCATTTTCTGCAGCTCAGATAAGGTTCCAAAATGGCCAGAAAAAGAGAACACTCCATCTACTTCAACAATCGACTAAGACAGACATTTCATTCTTAAGCTTAATATACTTATTTTTATGGGTTAAAAATTTAATTTCAAGATACCAACTTACCAAAAATCTTATAAATAATAGTAATTGCTATTTTACTTTTGTTGTTTCAGCTTTTATATATTTAAAATTAAACTGTATCTTGGGGGGGTAGAGTCTTTCTACAAAATATTTTAATCAATGGAAATGTGGGAAATTCTTAATTGTTTGGAAAACTCACTTTTAATAATTGATAGATATCACCTGATATGAGTACTAAATAACACATTTGATCTAGTACTGAGCACATTCTATAGCATAGTTGTACTCGGTATTCAATATAATCCTATTCACTCTCTGTCTACACTCAAGCAATTCTGCAAACCACATGGAGAGTCAGCATGAGAAAAACCAAGTCATAGTTTCAGCACTGCTACAATTTTCAATCAAGTCAACTGACAATTCTGGATCTCAGATTCTTAGAGTGATCCCTAAGATCTATTAGACTCTGAATGATCCCTAAGGTTTGATTCAACTATATACTTTATAAACATTTATTAACTATAAACAGCAAAACTCGGTAATGAATGTCAGGTTCAAATTTTAACTCAACCACTTGCTAGCTCTATCAGAACCTTAGTAAGTTAGTAAACCTCTATGCCCTACTTTACCACATATATATACTTATTTTAGAGGGTTATAAAAAAGATTAAGTGAGAAAATACACAAGCACATAGCTCATTGCCTGCTATGTGGAAACCACTTGATAAATACTAACACTGAGTTAAATGCCATTTTAAGAAACTGGAAGAACTGATCACAATGTTATTATATTGGAATTTATAAGTTATGAGCTGAGCATTTAGAATTCATTTTGTTATATAATATATTCATTATAGTATTTGATGATGAAATTTTATTGTTATAAATACACCTCCTTGAATGTGAGTGTCAAATCTATCCTGCCATACTTTCATTAAAAAAAAAACCACAAAGTAGCTAAAACACATATAACATTCATCAATATCATTAAAGCAGATTCATTCATTCATTAATATCATATACGACTAATCTCAAAGAATAAAGCAAGTATCTAATTTTAAAATACTGTTGAAAAATTAATCATACCATTTCTATTAAGACATTATTATACATGCATCCCTGTTTTCTAATTTCTAAAAAAAAATCCTATTTTAAATGAGTAGGTGTTAAGTAGATTGTGAGGAATATGGTGAATCTTTTGGACCTCATAAATTAGCTATACAATGAAATAATCCAAGAAACTACACTATAAAAACTATCAACACAAAAATATTTCAATTGGGAGTTGTATGCCCAACCAAGAGATGGTAACACCAAAATCACATGATCAAACTAACAGTAAAAGGAAAATACAAAACAAGAAATTAATATAATTATTTTCAATAGTGAAAATTTATATTCAAAGTTATTGTAGCATATAAAGTTCCACTAACTTAAAATTTTAATGTAAGATTAACATGCTAGTGTTAAGAAATAGTAAACATGTAATAATTCTGTCTATTGTCTTAAAATTTGATATGTCACTTTTTTCCTCTCACAAATTTCCCAAGAAATCAAGCAGTTAAATCATGACTTTAAAACTTTGGTTTATGCTCTATTTCATTTCATTTTCCAAACAATTCTTTAGTCTTTGCCACTAATAGCATACTGAAATTGAGGTGTATAATTTTATAATTCTAATCCCAAATGTATAGAACTAAAAGGCTTCAAAGTGGATTCTCTATGATGAGGAACAGTATAATATTTCAACACTGGTTTTGTGATCCCTCAAGAATTTCCCACTAATCTGAAGGGGCACTAGAAAAATATTTTTAACTTAATGTTCAATATATGAAGAACATATTCAATTTGTGAAGGAGCCATTTTTAAGACTCCTATTTTCTATTACTTTATTATCCTTCAGAAAGAAAGATAAACAGAGAATGATGACTACTTTGGCATTATAAGACCAATCACACAACAGAAAAGTTGACATGGTAGGCAATTAACCCATAAAGAGAGACCCATAAATAAAATTTGATTTCATAAAATTTGGGTATTTAAATAAGAAATTTTATAAAGAAATTAACTTATTAAAATGTTTATTTACAAACATTAAGCTGATTACATTTCAGTTAATACTTCTTTTATGCCTATTGTTTTATTTTTACAAAACTAAATTATCTATCATTTTTAGAATCAATCCAGTTAGTATTAACTACCACAGACTAACTCTTGAAAAGGGCACATTCCAACCACACAAACTGCACTATTAGAAATACCTGATCACTAGCAACTAAAACACTGTAAACAAAATACTGGGGACTCATACAAACTCTAGGAGATATATCAAATTTCACCCAATTTCTGAAAGATTCCAATTTTTTTTAAAAAGATTTATTTATTTATGCATACAAGAGCTGGGGTACAGGCCAGAGATGCAGGGGGTGAGAGGACTCACCAGAGACAGAGTGAGGAACAGACTGACTGAAATACACTGCTGAGGGGAGCAGCGGGCAAGACAGGAGAGGTCTGCTTCACCATGTGGGCAGCTCCCTGGCCAGCCAGGGATGGAACTCATGCTGCAGAGGCTGCAGATTGCTTCATAGTGCTGCGCTTAACCCCTTGCGCCACCAGGGAGGCCCAAAAGATTCCAATTTTTATTTTAAGTATAATAGAATACTGCCTTCTGAAAATGGTCACTCCAAAAAAAGAAATTTTCTTTAAAAAGGAGAATACCAATTGATTTTATTTTTTTAAAAGATTTATTAATTTATGCATACAAGAGCCAGGCTACAGGCCAGAGATACAGGGGGTGAGAGGATTCACCAGATACAGAGTGGTGAGCAGATCAAGCAGACTGACTGAAACACACTGTCAAGGGAAGCAGCGGGCAAGGAAGGAGAGGTCTGCTGCGCCATGTGGGTAGCTTCCTAGCCAGCAGGGGATTGAACTTGTGCTGCAGAGGCTGCAGGTTGCCTCACAATGCTGTGCTTCACCCCTTGAGCCACCAGGGAGGCCTGTTTTATTTTTTTAAGTAAGCCAAAAATTTCACATCATTTTTAAAAATACATATTCATTCAAGAATGATCAGTCCCAGGAAATGAC